GTCGTCGTCGTGGTCGGTCCCCTGTCCGTCCCTCTTGTGGTCGGATTGCCGCCGATCAGCGCTGCCGCTGGCCAGGCCGACGGTCCGCGGCCGCCCCGCCGCTTGCCAGGGCCTGGCCTGCAGGGAAGACAGGTTTACGCTCAAAAAGGGTACGATCGAAGACGAAGAGGGCGGGTATCGAGGGTTTGGGACAAACGCGTTAACGGACACTCGAGCAGATAAGAGCGAATCATGTTAAACTGTTTGTTGTTGTTGTTGTTGCAGTTGTTGTAGTTGTTGTTGTGGTTGTTGTTGTTATTGTTGTTGTTATTGTTGTTGTTATTGTTGTGATTATTGTTGTTGTATTTGTAGTTGTTGTTTATTGTTGTTGTTGTTGTGGTTGTTGCTGGTGCTTTTCCATCGTATAATCACAACACTATATGGGCATGCGTGTATGCTTGTATGGTTGTATGTTTGCATGTCTGTATGTATGCATGCATGCATGCATGCATGTATGTAGGTGAGTATGTCTGTATGTATGTATTTATGCATGTATGTATGTGTGTATGTATTTATGTATCTATCTATGTATGTATGGTTGTTTGTTTGTTTGTTTGTTTGTTTGTATGTATGTATGTATGTATGCAACTACTTACGTATGTATGCATTTATGTATATATGTAATTTTGTATGTATGTAATGTATGTATGTATGTATGTATGTATGTATGTATGTATGTATGTATGTATGTATGTATGTATGTATGTATGTATGTATGTATATATGCATGCATGCATGCATGCATGCATGCATGCAGGCAGGCATGCATGCATTTATGTATGTATTATGTATGTATGCATGCATGTATGTATGTATGTATGTATGCATGCATGCATGCATGCATGCATGCAGGCAGGCAGGCAGGCAGGCAGGCAGGCATGCATGCATGCATGCATGTATGTATGTATGTATTTCTGTATGTATGTATGTATGTATGCATGCATGCATGCATGCATGCATGTATGTATGTATGTATGTATGTATGTAGGTAGGTAGGTAGGTAGGTAGGTAGGTATGTATGTATGTATGTATGTATGTATGTATGTACATGCATGCATGCATGCATGCATGCATGCATGTATGTATGTATGTATGTATGTATGTATGTATGTATGCATATATGTATACATATAACGCCGCACCGGGCCCGGGGGCCCCGGGGCCGCAGCCTCGACCGCAAATGGGGGGACGTCGGGCCCAGCCCGCTCCCCGGCGGGCCCCAGGTCGGCCCCCGGAGCGCCCAGACGGCCGTCCAGGCGGCCCCAGGCCGCCCAGCGCCACCCTGAAGACAACCTCCAGCGGTCTCCGGCGGCTCCAGAGGCGTCTCGAACCGCCCCAGACGCCTCCAACACGCTCGAAGACCCCTCGAAGAGATCCCCCCAGACGGCCCCGGGAAGCAAAAATAGCCCCGTTCCCTGCATAAAACGTACATTTTTACCATGTTTGTTTTTTTGGCCTTCGTACCGTCCTTTACGACCTCAGACTCTCCCCAGACCGCCCCAAGACGGCCCACGAAGCCCACAAGAGAGCCCCAAGACGGCCCCAGAGGGGCCCAGGACAGTCCAAGAGGCGCCCAGGACGTGCAGCTCGAGGGGGCCTGAGGATACCCCACTCGTCCAAGAAGGGCAAACAACATTCAAACAAACTTGCAGAGGTCCGTCGCTCAGATTGCTTGGATCCGCACTGGATCCTCTGGTGGCGCCTCTGGTGCCGCCCCTGGCGCGCTCCACGCGCCAGGGAGGGGGTGTCCAGCGCCAATCGAAGAAATCCGTTCGGAACTCTGAAGGTTTATATGCTCGTGCCGTTCTTTCTTACTCTTACGGAGTGCGTCGCGGCGCGGTGGCGGATCATCCTGACGCCCCAATCGCGCAGGCGTGGTGGTGGAGTAATCTGGCATCTGCCACCCCCGTGCACGGAATGCATTGCAGTGCTACGCGATGTATAGACGCCCAGCACCGCCGCGGCACGAATCGATGTACACGACCTGCATGAGCTTGCTGCGAAGAAGTGGAGGTGCAGGGGCACGAGTGTTGTGCGAGATAGCCCAGGGGAAGCAGCACGATGTGGCATGGCAACCTCGCGCCGCGCTGATGGGGACGCGGCGGCGACCCGGGCGTTCAAGGTTGAACGCCGCCTGTGCCCCAGAATCGGCCGACATCGAAGGATCTGCACTGTCGGGACGCCGCGATCGATCAAGGCGGAAACATCAACGCGGTGCCAGACACCAACGCCGAAGTCGTCACGTTACGGACCTGCCGTCAGATGCGTCTTTTCAGATCATGCCTGGCAGCTCCGTGCTGATCGTGCCCTGCCCCGACCACTCCACCAGCCCACCGCCAGAGTTTCCCGGGGGCCCTTGGCTTGTTCGCTTTTCATCCGCCCCCTCCTGGCCATGATCCACCTGTGACTCTTTCTGTTCTTTCACGTTCGCGAGCGCGGGTGATCCGTGCGTTCCGCCTGCTTCTGTTTGTTCTTTCACTCTGGACGCATTTCGGAAATGTGAAGAGTCTGTTGCGTCGGGGCGCAGCCGATTTCACAGTCATGACAGGTGGGATCGAACCGATAAGCACAACTACAGTTGCGTCCGCACTTCAGGAAGAGCATGATGAGGAGAGGGGGAAATGGGGAGGGAGTGTGGGCACCTCTCCATCCTCTTTCTGCCAGACACATCGACTAACGGCAGTTAGCACTTTCTTTCAGAAGTCCACGAGTAAACTTGCCACGTGCCGAGAAACGGACACGGCGTCAAATAGCCCATTCAAGAAAGGAGTTCATGATCAATTTGACTTCGTTCTGGTTGCGCAAATCTGACAACAGTCTGTTTTGGACTTTGGAGGCGGATGCGCTGGCCAACATCATCTCGGAGCAGGGTCCGCGCATGCTACTTCTAGTCGATAGCCACTGGCAAGTATTCATGGACCTAGCATAGCAAAACACAGAGAGTGCAACGCGCAAGAACCAGCACAAATCAACGATCGTTTCCGCTTTGCGATGCAGGACATTGAAACCCACAGGCAGTCACGAGCCAACTTGCGCCTCACTCCCACGAGACCGACGCAAAGTCCAACGCAAAGCCATATCGCGACGGAGCGAAACGCTTCTTGAACAAAGGCTGACAGTTTGGGCCGCCAGGAATATGGGATGCTTCGCAGCTCTGACGCATAGGTTTCGCAGCAGGCGCCGAGAAGGTAGGAGGCAACATGTGCTGAGTACTGCGTTGGAGGAACCGGATGTACGCGGCAGATGGATGGGAAACAGAAGTGTCGAGAAAGATTGCCAGCCCGAGCCGTATCATGTGGAATAAGGCACGCCTTTCCCGCGGCACCAGATGGCCGAACAAATGACCAAGGAGCGAGAGCCCCAGCCAATCGAAGATGAAACGCTCAGCTGTGCTCTTATCGTGACAACACGGGCACATATATAGACCTTAGGCCTTTGTGAACAAAGATCAATTTGAAGGGCCGCAAGACTCCCATATCCGACGGCCTAGCCTCATAATGATTCAACGATATCAAAGTACGCAGCGTCGATTTAATCTTGGCTCCTCTTAGCGATGTGTCGGATAACTTGCAAAGTCCGCCAGATGCTCCAGAAAGTCTCACTTGAAGCCATTTTCAGGACAACGCGACGTGCAATCTAGCCAATGACAGCCCGATTGATTTGTTGAGGTCAATACAACATCATCGGAAGAGATCATATACATGCTTGGACGCACACGTGCAACGGACTCAATTCTGGTTATCTGAAAATCGATCAGCTTCGGTAGCCGTACACAGCGCGAGAGATAAAGTGAAGAGTCGGAGATTCCAGGGCTACTGATTCTTTTTGTATTACTAGACGTGGGGAAAATCTTCGGAACATTCACGCAGATCGGGATGATTTCTGCCTTGCAGTGTTAAGTTGCAAACATCATGCACTCAATGTACGAAAAACTTGAGTTCAAAGTTGAGTGAGGTGGCCAAGCGTTCGACTGGCCTTCGCAATCCGGAAACACACACCGACGCATTCCGTCCTTATGTTTGTTGAAGTCAGCCAGTACAGCCATGTTCCATGACATATGCCAGTCTGTCGATATTTTGAAGGTGAGGCGCAGGGTTCAGCAGGCTATCTTCGATGAGATACCACCATACGAAGATGGCACGCTTGTTGTTTCTAGACACACCAGGGCACCGAACAGGATGTTGGCAACTATGGGGCGCGAAGGAGCTAGCCACGGGATGAAGCTGAAGAAAAGGAAGGTAGTCGCTCATGGGGGCCGAAACATACATTTAGCGGAGGATATTCGGGTTGGTCGCATGGGCGGAGTAAATTATCGGGGATGCCGATTGAAGAATCAATCTATGTTCCCGCGATGTGTTGAAACACGAATCGGGGCGTGCATGGCAATGCCGAGGCTCATTGACTTCAGGAGGCACAACAGTCGCCATGCCAAATTCGTGCTGCAGGTGCATTGCAGTCATCAAGGCTAATCTTTGGACGGCCTCGATTCAGCCCAGCGCACACAGGGCACGTCGAAGCGACCAGACTCCTTTTCAACCCGAAGGGTCCCACAACATCGGTGATTGCAAGCAGGATGTCTCAACATGGCCAGCACGAGTGAATGAGTTGTCGAAGCGGACGGGTACGCGCTCCGACAGGGAGGCAGAGGGCACAAACCCATCATCATCATCATCAGCAGCAGCATCATCATCACCACCATCATCATCATCATCATCATCATCATCATCATGCGGGGGGCATCAGCGACTCGGCGGTGTCCCCCCCAGGGAGAGCGGGATCATCATCATCATCATCATCATCATCATCATCATCGTCATCGTCATCGTCATCGTCATCGTCATCGTCATCGTCATCGTCATCGTCATCGTCGTCATTATCATCATCATCATCATCATCATCATCATCATCATCATCATCATCATCATCATCATCATCATCATCATCGTCATCATCACATCCAGGACAGCGTGCGCTTCTGTAGCAAGCCAAAGGAGCCCAGTGTGTCCTCGTAATTCCGTCTCTTAGGGTGCGTTAGCGTACGCTAGCGTCGGGTAGTCGATGGGAGAGCGCCAATTCGGCGTCGTTGAGCTTCGACTTAGCGTCGATCAGCGTCGACCAGCGTCGGTTACCGCCGATCCGCAAGAGCCAGCAAGACGGCACGGGAAGCTCCCATGGGTTGCCACAGAAGGGCAGGATGAGGAGCAGGAGTCGCAGGAGTGGCGGGACAGATGAGCAATAAGGAGTTTCGCCCGTTGGTGGGCGGCTTGAGCCAAAATGGCTTGAGCCAGAATGGCTACGGACGAGGAGGAGGAGGAGGAGAAGGAGGATGACGAGGAGGAGGAGGATGAGAAGGAGGAGGACGTGGAGTCGGAGGAGTCGGAGGAGTCGGAGGAGTCGGAGGAGGAGGATGCGGAGGAGGGGGAGGAGGAGAGGCGGAGGAGGATGAGGAGGAGGAGGATGAGGAGGAGGCGGAGAAGATGGAGGAGGGGGAGGAGGAGGAGGAGGCGGAGGAGGTGGAGGAGGGGGAGGAGGAGGAGCGGGAGGGGCAGGAGGAGCAGGGGGAGGAGGAGGGAGCGAGCAGGCCAAAAGAGTGCGCCCGACGAGGGAGCACACCTCAGCGACGAAGCAGGGAAAGCCCGAGGGACCAGAAGGTCAAACACCAGGCCCACGGAGAGCGGGGCCCCAGGAAGGCGGTCGTTTTTTGATTCCTTGTTTTGCCGATCGGCGCGGGCCCTCGCTCCCCCCCCCCTCCCCCCCATGGAGCAGATCTCGGCTGTTTTTGGCGCCTGCTTCGAGCGGGCGGGGTCCCTCTCCCAGAGGCAGCACTCCTGCAAACGGCCGCACTAAGCAGAGGTCCGGAGCCAGACCTCCCCCCCCTCCACCCCCCTCCCGCCCAATGTCGAAACGCCGAATAAAAAACGCTCACCAGGAAGACCGCCGCTCCTGAAGACCCTGGGCCAGGGAATCCCGCCAGATGGGGACCAGGAGCTGGGGCAAACCTCAGGCCTCTCTGGCGGGGTGGAAGGCCACGGCCGATTTTTCCGATGGCCGTGAGCTGGCTCCGACGCGCAGTCGGGTTCTCTGAGGGCCCAACGCACATGGATCGGAGCTTCCTCATGGAACGCACGGACTTTGATCAGCACGGCGCTGCTGCTGCTGCTGCTGCTGCTGAAAGGCAAGCATCCAGAAGGACGCGTGGGCAGAAGAGCGAACGGTTGGCAACCCTTCAGGAATTCCGAACAGAGACTCGACAAACGGAGAGCGTCACGACTGTGACGCAGAAAATGGAGCGCCCGACTGGAGCAGAAGACGTGCAGCGAAGCGGAGGGGGAAGAGGAAGAAGAGGACACTAACAAGGATACTTCAGATGTCCTGCACCGTCTTGTACACTTCGGAAGCCCATTGCTGCCTGGGCCGGCCACGCCGCCGGTGTACCACCCAGTTTTTCGGAGTACCATCAAGATTGCAAAAGCATTGCCGTACCAACGATGAAGACTCACTTTCTGCGATTTCGATGCATAGCTCTTTTTTTGTCTTCCAAGCAGAAATTGTGAGAGAGATTTGGCTCCTGCTTTGTCCAACATGTCCTCGTTACCCGCGCGCGACACAAAAGAGTGCGGAATGCCCAGGATACGTCGCAGGCAGCGGCAATGAAACGCGTCGAGCCTGCATATGTCTGCCTTCAACCTTCAACAGCCACAGTGGATCCAGAGAGTGCAGAAGTTTACTTCAAACGACACTGTCGTATTATTTGTACTACCGTTTCCACCCACCTGCGGGGGTTGCGCCCATAATTTTGCCAATTTGTTGAAGATGCTGTGCGATTCAGGAGGCGGGTGATTTCCAGAGTAGTTCTGCCATCGCAGTTGATCATCTCTCCCAAGTAAACCGCTTCCCGGACGGACTTGATAGGGCCACCACCAGGCCAAGCGACTGATTCATTGGTGGCAATCTACATGTGGAGTGTTTCGCCCCCAGTTGAGCTACAGACCATATTTACGCCCCTCCGCAACAATCGCGTTCAGCACGCTCTGGACATTCGTCTTGCTCTGCGAGACCAAGATCGTGTCGTCTGCGTAGAAGATGTCCCGCGTCACAAAGTAAGCGGGGTCAGCCTCGACACTGATCGTCTCAACTACACTAGACCAGTATGGGGAACGAGGACATCCCTGCGCGATGCCAGCGTGCTGCTGTCTTTCTGTGGGCTTTTCAATGTAGTCAACGATCGTGAAGAACCGCTCGGAATAAATGGCCTAAAGCATGGCAACCATTTCCGCAGGAAGTCTAAAACCTTAGAGAGCGACGCACATGCTTGATGGATGGCTTGAGTCTGTCAAACGCTTTCTCCGAATCCAGCGTCACCAAAATAAGGCTGTTATTTTCATTGGCGTGGGCTGCGTCAATCATGCGCCTGACGAGCATGAGGGCGTCGGTCGTTCCACGCCCAGGGCGAAACCCAAATTGTGATTTACGCAGTCTGCTTTCGGTTCCACCTTTAAGTAGACGTTGGTGTAGCATGGACGCAAGAAACTTATATCAAATGTGCAGTATGCAAATTGGCCTGCAGTTTTCTGGAAGAGTAGTTCTCCTTTCTTGAGCAAGAGAACCGAGCTTGCACGCCTCCGAGATGCGGGCATGGATCTCTGTCCCCGACACTTGTGGCACAAGCGAAGCATGATTCAGTAGTTCAGGGTCCGACCCCAATGTTCTCCAGAAGTCTGGCGGTGCCCCATCAGGCCCAGCAGCTTTACCACGACGTAGCCGGCGAGGCGCGTCGACCAGTCCCTCCATGGTGGACAGGCCCGTGCGGATAGGCAGCAAATCGCCCAGGGGGGCGCGTGGCTCCCGGGTGTGTTCTGGGAAACGAATTTGCCATTGGATGTCTTCGGAGCAGGAGTAGGAGGTGGAGGAGGAGGAGGAGGAGGAGGAGGAGGAGGAGGAGGAGGAGGAGGAGGAGGAGGAGGAGGAGACGAGCAGACGAGGAGGAGGAGGAGGAGGAGGAGGAGGAGGAGGAGGAGGGGTGAGGAGGGAAAGCACGAAACTGGCAGGAGGAGGAGGAAGAGGAGGAGGAGGAGGAGGAGGTTGTGTCGACGCACGCTTGATACTTGTACGTGTTTTGAGATATCGCGCTGCTTCCCAGCCTCCCTTTGAATTGATGAGTGCCCCAGATTTTCATATTATTTTGGTGAAGCTGTTTTTTCAGCGTTCTGATCACCGCTTGAACGTGTAACTCTGCGCTTTTCGATCAAGGCGAGCGTGCGCTGGCTTGTCCAAGCTTTCTTGGGGCCCACTTATCGTTTGGATATCACTTCAGCCGCTTTTTCAAAACCTTGTCGAACCCACCTGCTAGCAACGTCAACCGAATCCGTTTCATTAGCAATTGAACTGCCCACAGCCCCAACAAATGCCGATATTAATCATTCTTGCGTGTGCGGATCTTTGAGGTTCGATTTGTCCATGTACGCTTTCTTCAAGGGTACTTCGATATTGAATTCCAAGTTTGATTTCAAGATGGTGAGGTCATGAGGTGTATTCAGGGCGTCCTGGAGGCTCGTCAAGATGTCCTTGACGGTGTGCAGGACGTTGCGATGGCAGTGTCGTTGTCTGTGGAATCGATGCCAAGATTCCTGAACGAGATCTTCATGTTGACCGGATGGTCGTAGTAAGTATCTGCCACCAGGAGGTCACACGACGTACACAGTTCCACCAAGAGGTTCTTGTTTGAAACAGCGACTGGCATCGACTAGTCCGCGACATCAGGGCACTTAAACACGTGAGGACTGATAATGTTCTGCTCTCCAGATCCAGCCCGCAAGAGTCTAGCATTCAAGTCTCCCACGATGTACGTCGTGCTGTGCGCTGTGGTCGCCCGACTCTGCATCTGTAGATCCGCGTAAAAAGAATGACGTTCAGCATATGGCCGGCGATTGGAGGAGGAGGAGGAGGAGGAGGATGAGGAGGAGGAGGACAGGAGGAGGAGGAGGAGGACGAGGAGGAGGACGAGGAGGAGGAGGAGCAGGAGGAAAGGGGGGGGAAGTTGATTCTCAATGAGGCCACCCTGGGGATGCTCGCCTCAAAGGCTACAGTGCTCTTCAGAATGCGCTGAGCCACTATGAAACCCACTCCGCCGTGCGATTGCACGTCCAAGTCCAGCTCACCTGGCAAAAATATCGTGTAGCCATCTCGTGAGTAGTATTCGGAACCATGTAAGTGCGTTTCTTGTACGCAAAGATCTGTCTGCGCATGATGTCAATGAGCTCGACTATCTTGATGCTCGATTCGCCGCGCAAACCTTTAACACTCCACGTGCCCAATCGAACAGGGCAATAAGGTCGACATGTAGACCGAGGCCTAATCCAAGCGTGAGTTGTAGAGGAAGGCGGTTCCAATAGCCTTTCACGAAGGGGGATGACAGGTCCAGGGTCGAATTCATACAGAGAACCTCACACCCCAGAGCCCGAAGCTCTGCGACCAGTGCGTCCGCACCTCCATGTGAAGCTCCGTCTACCTCCAGGTTCAGGGGCATCGATAGGGGGGGATAGGCATAGGGGGGCATGCATCGACCCCCAATCGCCCATTGATCGCCGATAGGGGCCCGATAGCCCCAACCTGCCCAGGGAGGTGTGGATTCACTATCGGAGGCCTATCGCCGATGTATCGGCGACGTATCGCGGATTCCAGGTCGATGCATCCCCCCCTATGCCAGTCCCCCCCTATCGTTGCCCCTCAGGAAGGAGGAGGGAGGAGGAGGAGGAGGAGGAGGAGGAGGAGGAGGAGGAGGAGGAGATGACATGGGAGGCTCCCAGGAGCTGCCACCGAAGCGCGCGCCGCGAACAGAAAACATGCCCCCCTGGCGGGCCGCTGCTCGAGAGCGCCCTTGGGGCGCGCGACCGCGCCGCGGCGCCATGGCCGCGACGGAGCCGCCGGCGCTGGAGCTGCCGTCGGGCAGATTCCTCTTCACGTCGGACCCGCGGCCCCCTCGACGATCCCCAGGCACGGGAGGAAGAGGTATCTGGCCACGCCGCCGGCCGTCCCTCGTCGTCCCCCCTCTGCTGGGCCTCCCGGGAGGCCCTCGTCGCCACGGCTGGACTCGCCTCGAGTTCCTGGTCAGGAAGCGCCCCCAGAGAGAGGTCTGGCGAGCAGCTGTATCGGTATCGGCGTCGGAGCTGCCGGCCGGCAGACTCCTCGTCACCTCGGGCCCGCGGACCCTTCGACGATCCTCAGGTCCTCGGGGCGCGTGCGAGCCCACGCTGTGCTGACCCTGCGCTCGGGGAGCGAGCAATGTTCTAATCGGCAACGAGCCTGGGGGGTAAGCGAGAAGGGGCGGGCCGTCTCCGAAGGCCTGGAAAGTTGCGGGCCTTCCGAGAGGTTTCCTAAGCCTTCCCCGAAGACACAGAAAGCTTCTCAGAAGGCCGGAGGGCTTCTGAGAAGCCTTGCCGCCTTATGAGAATAGGAGAACCAAGAATGACATAAACATACACATTCGGAGTCGCCCCTGCCGTCGCCATTGTCACCATAGTTTCCTGCATCGCTGTCAGCGGTCGGAAGTCCCCAGCGGTCGGCGCCATCACGGGCGCGTTGGTCGCGTGAGACTAGCTGGCCGATCTGCGCGCGAGCATGCACGCGCCTGCGCGGCCGCAGAGATGCGCCAGCCAGCGCCAAGCAGTCATCGCAATCGCCGCCGCATGGGTTTTGCAAGCCGAGTTTCGGGTGGGAGGGAGGGTTGATTGCGCGAGCGGTGGAGCTGTCAACTTCAGGTTTGGCAGGGTGAACTGCACCACGTCGATTGCACCACTACAGTGCTCCACTTACTTAGACTGCGCAGCGTGTATCGCCAGAAACACAGTGTTTGGAGTCCGCGGTTGTCAACATGTACTCAGGAGCCGTGCTCTGCCAGCTATTTTTTTGGACCGTACGGCCACCATCCGTGGTAACGCATGCGCGGGGGTGAACATGGCCGTGCTTCCGCTGCTGTCCCTTTTTAGCCAGTCTCCCAGTCTTCGACCGGCGCTTTCACATTTGCTGTCAATGTAAGTCTGGAAGCAGCGGACGAGACAACATTAAAGCCAACGTGTCGAAGTGCGCGGGCGGGGTATCAAACCAACAGCCAAGCGCGCCCGTCATCTTTGAAATCACCATTCAACAAAGAATACCCACATGCGCTTTTCAACTTTGCAAAGGCTTCCCAACAATGACGCATCGTCAGAAACCGCTAGGAAGCGTCGCGCCACTTGCGACAAGACTTGTCGTTTTCTTAGCTGGGACCACTTTCCCTCGACGAGCCGACAAGGGCATGCCCGAAAAAGCTTCCCGCCGCGATCTCGTGGTTCAAAAGCAGGTCGTGGGAGTTTGGATGTCCTCGAAATCCTTCTTTGGAGCGCATTCGCGTACGCTGGAATCTGTCAGTCGAGGAGAAAACGCAGATTTTGCGTCCAGCAGCGTCGATTTAGCGTCGACTACAGTCGATCCACCGTCGACTAGCGTCGATTCGCGTCGGCCAGCGCCGGTTCGCAAAAATGAGCAAACTGACATGACAGGCTCCCATGATCTTTCACGGACGACAAAAGGACGAGAGCCCGCCCGAAAAACACCCTTGCGGTCGTTATCCGTTTCGGGCTTGCAGAGCGTGGCATGCGTTGCTTTTTCTCGATGTCACAAAGGGTGTGCGAGGCAGGCTCGACAGTGTCGCAAAACCCAGCAGGCGTGGCACCTTCTAGACGGCAGAGGGGGCGCGTTGGGGTTGCGGTCGTTCTTCGCTTCGGGCTCGCAGAGTGTGGCCGGCGTGTCTTTTGAAACGGGCGAACGGGTCCAAGTCCCGAATGGAGTGTGCCCGAATGCGTTTGTTGTTCGTTGTTTGGCGCTGGTTTCGCCCGTGGATGTAGCGATCATCAGAGGAGATGTTCGCGTTGTGTGACGTGCGTGCGGCCTGGATAAGCATGTGCGTTGTTCGTGGTGTAGTGTTGCAGTGTTTTGCTAGCCGTCGCTCTGATCGCTTCTTGCGAGTGGCCTGGGGCGTTGATGCGCTGACGTACGAGGGGCTTGGTAGGGTCTGGATGGACGGTTCGTGGTGGCTTTCGGGGCCGCGAGGGTGTTATGGTTAGTACTTGGCAGGTTATTTGCGGGGCATTTGCTTCGTGTCCAATTGGGCCGCCCCGTGCCCTGCGCGCCTGCGCGCGCGGCGCGCCTGTCATGCCTGAGGCAAGTGGCGAGCCGGGCGCACTCGGCTCACCTGCCGCGGCCGGAGCAGCACCTGGCGTACTTCGCGCAGTTGGTGCATCTGGCGCATTCGGTGCGCTCGGCACTTTGCGCGCCCCGCGCATCGGAGTGTTCTCGCGCGTCTTCCAATCGCGACGCACATTGAACTCGCGTCGCGGGGGGTGGGAGGAGGAAGAAGGAGGATGGATACGGACGAGGATAATGACGGGGCTCACAGGAGGAGAAAGAGGACGAGTCGGGGGGGGGGAAGATGATGGATGCGCGGGGGGCCCAAGATTCCTCCGTTCGTCCCGCCTTGCCGCCGTGGCGTTATAGGCAGTGCCTCGCTGCCGTCTCGCGCCCTGCCCCCGCCTCCTGCATTGCGACTCTGCTTCACGTGCGCGCGCCCCCAATATCCAATCGTCGGTGCATCGCTCGGAAGATCTGATTTGTTCGCGGCGTTTTCGCGCGCGCGGCGCGCTCGGGCCCGAGCCGCGCGCGCGCGTTCGTTCTGGCGAGCTCAAGCATGCGATGATCGCGCCAACGTTTGAGCCTCCGGCCGCCATGCGCACCTCCTTGTGCGATGTGCGCCGTTGTCGTGGCGAAGCTGGCTCCCGATGAAGAGCCGCGCGCAATGCTGCTCTCGCAGACTGAAGCAGCGGCGCGAAAACACAACGCGACACCGCGTCATCAATGAAAAAGCATGCATCCTATTCGGGGACCATTCGGGCGCACTTCGGGCACCATAACTTACTTGGGCCCGTTCGCCCACGACTTCTCCTCGATCCCGCAGGACGGGGCACCCGATAACCTTCTAGTGTGTACCCCCCGCGCGCTCCCCGGCGCTCCCGCCGCGGCCTCGGGGGCACCGGGGGGTGCCAGGCGGGGCGGGAACCACCAGGCGCCGCGGCGGTGCACACGCCCTCGGGCGAGGTCGCCGGCGAGAGCCCGCCCGAGAGAGCACACTCCCCCGCGGCGCGGGGCGCCTCCCGTGCGCTCCCTTGGGGCCCCCGCCGCGGCCTCGGGGGCACCCCGGGGGCCCCCAAGCGGGGTGGTGACGACGCCGTGCGGTGAGTCGGTGGGGATTCCGGGTCACCGCGCGGTTTTGGGACTCGGGTCGTTCTCCGAGGGCGTCTCGGGCGATTGGGGCCTCCGAGCTCCCAGAACCGTGCGGTGACGGACCGTGCGGTGAGGCCTTGGGGGATTTCGAGGTCACCGCACGGTCTGTCACCGCACCGTTTCGGGACTCCAAAGCCCGCGGGGTGCCAGGCGGGGCGGGAAGAGCCCCCGCGGGCCCGCGGCGGTGCAGGCGCCCGCGGGTGGGGGCGTCTGCACCGCCGGGCCTGCACGGTTCCCCCTGGGGCCGTAGGCGACCCGAGGAGGAAGAGGAGGAGGAGGAGGAGGAGGAGGAGGAGGAGAGGAGGAGGAGGAGGAGGAGGAGGAGGATAAGGAGAGGAGAGGAGGAGGAGGAGGAGGAGGAGGAGAGGAGGAGGAGGAGGAGGAGGAGGGAGGGGATGGAGGGAGGGAGGGAGGAGGGAGGGGGAGGGAGGGAGGGAGGGAGGGAGGGGGGGGGGGTGGGGGGGAGGGGGGGCGGGAGGGCGGGAGGGGGGGGGAGGGCGGGAGGGCGGGAGGGCAGGGCGGGAGGGCGGGAGGCGTGGGTGGGCGGGAGGGCGGGAGGGAGGGCGGGAGGGCGGGAGGGAGCGGGAGGGCGGGAGGGAGGGAGGGAGGGAGGGAGGGAGGGAGGGAGGGAGGGAGGGAGGGAGGGAGGGAGGGAGGGAGGATCGCCCACTGGTCGCCGATGTGGGTCTGATAGCCCCACTCTGCCCAGGAACGTCGGGATTTGCTATCGGTGGCCTATCGCAGATCTATCGGTGATGTATCGCCGATTCCAGGTCGATGTTCCCCACCCCATATGCCAGTCCCCCCCCTATCGTTGCCCCTCAGTCTGGCTCGACATGCTGCCACATCTCCTCAGCATCCCCACTGCAAACTGAGCTCACATTGACACTTCGCTGTCCTCGCCCAGGAGTCTGTGACGGAGGGGCATCCCGACAAGCTCTGCGACAGGGTCGGCTGGGGCACGATCGGCCAGAGACAGCGGGCTCTCCCGTGCTGGGTGGAGGGTGTGGGCTGTTGAGGTGGTGTTGGTGGTCGTTGAGGGGGCTGCAGTGATTTTGACACCTCTTGCCGCCTCCCCCTCCTCCTCCTTCTCCTCCTCCTCCTCCTCCTCCTCCTCCTCCTTTGACGCCTCCCATGCATAATTTTCAAATGCAGATTTGTTTGCCGATGTCTTCCAATGCAGGCGCCTCGGCGCCCACTCCGCCGCGCCTTCATGGCGCCACACGCGCGGAGCCGAGTCCGAGTCCGAGTCCGAGTCCGAGCAGTGATTTGTGGTAAGGAGGAATAGTATGGGGCACGGGCAGGTTGGAAGACGGGACGGCCGAGGCAGAAGTGTCCTCGGGGGCTGAGGGGAAGGCCGAGGGAGAGGCATCCTCGGAAGCGAAGCCAGCGGGCGGGAAGGTGGGCGGCAGCGGGAGCGCGATTGATGGGGCCTGCCGAGGGAGACTGTCCGAGGGCAGGGTGGGGAGCAGAGCCTTGCTGGATGAGAGCAGCAAGAAGGCCGTGTCAAATCAGGCAGGCCTCCTCCTCCTCCTCCTCCTCCTCATCCTCCGCTTCCTCCCCCCACTCCTAGCCCTTTTCGATCAGGGTCGGCGGCACCGGCCGTCAGGCCTCTCCAATCAGGCAGGCCCAGGATGAGGACAAGCTGAGCATGATGACGCTGTTGCTGCCGCTGGTGATGGAGTTGGAACGGATGGGGATGGAGGAGGGCAGAGGGAGGGCGGAGGGGAGGGAGGAGGGAAGGGGATGGAGGGAGGAGGGAGGAAGGCGGAGGCACGAGGGATGAGGGGGGAGGGAGGAGGTGGAGGGGGGAGGGACAAGCTAGGTGCGCTCGCGTCGTATCTGACATCCTACCCCTCCCTCCCATCCCTTACCATGGCGCAGATCCCCTCTCTACTCGCTCAGTCGGATGTCGAGCAGGGCAATGATGGGTACGCGATGCATTGTAGAGCACGGCATGGCATGGCGTAGAAGAGCACCGCAAAGCGTAGTATCAACCTAGCATTGCAGTGCATGCCGTGGCATGGCACGGGAAATGACGCCAGCGCTGCAGCGGGAGCAGGAGTCGAAACGAGCGGAAGCGCGGAAATGAGGCCAGCGCTGCAGCGGGAGCACGATTCGGAACGAGCGGAAGCACGGAAATAAGGCCAGCGCTGCAGCGGGAGCACGATTCGGAACGAGCGGGGCCCGAAAATGAGGCCGGCGCCTCAGCGAGAGCAGCATTTTGAAAAAAATGCAGGCGAACACCCAACTCCGGGGAAACCTGTGTGTAAAAAAACAGTACGCGGGGGGGGGGTCGGACACTCCCAGGCCGTCATCAGGGGAAGAGGGAGAGTAGTATGCATAAGGAGTAATTGTGGAGGGCGGAGGAGGCATTGAGGCTGGACCCAGGAGGCACGAGGAGGCGGCAGCAGGACTCGGGCGGCCGCGGCGGGCCGCCGCGGGACGCCGCACAGGTCGCCGACGCGGTCCTAGACGCCTGCCTCGCCCAGGAGCGGGGGCCCCTCGGCCGCGGTGCCCGCAGCTCGGTCCCGTCGGCCTCGCGGCCGTCGGCCGCGCTCGGCCGCGCTCGGCTCGGCTCGGCTCGGCGTCGCGGCCGCGCCGCGCGGCTCGGCCTCCTCGGCCGCGGCGTCGCTCGGCTCGACTCCGGTTGCGTGTGCGGCTTCGGTCTGGGTTGCTCTCTCTCGGGGAGGGTCCGACGCGGGGGGGAGGCCGCCTCCAGGGGAGGAGGGGGGGGGTGCCCCGTGAGCGGGGCTTCTGCTCTCCCGGGCGGGTGGGTGCTTCGACGCCGAGGTTCCGGGCAGGAGGGTGCTGAGGTCTGGTCGCCGCAGGGTCTCCGCGCGACGTTCTCGCCCGGGTGTCGGGCATCGGGGCCACAACAGATGGATCCAGCTCGAAGCATGCGGCAGAAGAGGGGTGGCTAGGGTTCCGGTTGCGATTTCTCGCGGTGTTGCTCTTTTCTTCGCAGCGTCGGCTCGCAGGGGTACAAAAGACAGCATCAGGACCCTGCACCTCAACCCCAGTAGAGGCTGTGAGGAGCCCAGGTAGGCCCAGAAATCTGGAGGGACTCTTTTTCACGGCGCCTAGACCCTATCAACCGAAAAGGTATGTGACCGGAACATATTGGTGACCGAAAACGTGTGTGACCCTAAACGTAGTGTGACCACAGTTGCGACCGAAACTACAAGTCGCTTCGGTTTGGCCCCACCTGGCGTTCGGGAAAACTCGGGCGCCAGCTCCAGTCATAATCGGACAGATTTTCGGATTCAGTTTTGGTCACTACTCGAGAAGGATATCGTTTACAGAATTGATGTGCCGCAAACATTTATTCCTAAATGTGCAACGCATTTTAAAGCTGGTAGATATACGACATTTCTACATATTTGTCGGAGATTGACGAAATTTCAAGCAGGGGGGTGATTAATTCTGTAGTCGATCTCCTACGGTAGGTTCATGCGGCGTTGGCACGCTAGCGACGCCGGCGATTGCGTTCAAGGTTGAAGTCTGGTGACGCGGAAGCAAAGCACGGGGGAACACGGTTACGCCACTGGACCCGACGGAAGTCAGTTTTGAATGATTTGCGCGTGCCAGCGCCGCCCGAATCCTCCGTATTCGAACTACATATTTCATTTTCCCCGAACTCGTTTTTTGTTCCAAGTCAGCAGCAAAAATTTAGAATTCTCGACGACATTTGCAGTGTTTTGTAGATTCGGCGAACTTTCGCGGGTGGCCCGGGAGGAGGCTTCGGGGCTCAAAAGACGGGGGTCAAGTCAAACGGGGCTCAGTCAGAGCGCAAGATTTTGCAAGATCCTGCAGAGCCAAGATTGCATTGACCCGGCTTTTCATGGCGCCAACATCGCAGAGCGGATTTCGTTCGAAAAACGATAGGGTGGACCCGGGGTGTCCTGGAGAATTTCGTTCCGGATTTCGAGGTGAATTTCGTGCGGATTTTTTTTTTGGGCCAGGAATGAAGACCAACAATAATCCACGTGAGAGTCACTCTGTTTTTCGCTCGCCGCTGCGGGCCAACATCCACGCAGAAGTCCACGCAACAATCCGCTGCAGCACGTCTGCAAAGGCTGGTGCAGTGAGGCTCTGGGTGCAGGATCCTGCAGGGTCCTGCGGGATTTTCTGTAGGACCCTGCAGAGCCGGGTCAGGCCTGGGTCAGCAGCTCGAGGGAGCGGGGGGCGCCGGGGGCGGCCAAGCCGGGCGGGTGGGACCAGGGTGCAGTCGGGCGTGCCCTTCCACGGGGGGAGTCTTCCAAAAATAGTCTGGGGACGATTTTTTGACCATTTTTGGCTACCTTTTGTGGTATTGTTTGGGTAGGATGAATTTTTCGCCCAGCATCCGCCTGTAGGGGGACATGCTCGACCGAAGACCAGGGGGATGGCCGCACCTTGCGCCCAGGAGAGCTGCTGTCCGTAGGAACGCCGAGCGAGGAAGGAGGCCCCACGCCCGGGTGCGCGAGGGGCGCCCCCGAGGAGTCGCCGCGGGCGGGCCCCGAGGAACGGGGAGCCCCGCCCGAGCCCCGAGTGACATCCGCATGCTTCAGCGCCTCGGCTGCAGATGCCCAGCGGCGGATGAGGAGGGGCGACGGTCGGGGGCGGCCACGAGGAGGGTGCTCCGACCAGGGGGGGGGGGATGTCGCGAGGTGCCATGGCGCCTCTTGCCTTGGCCGCCCCCGAGTAGGGGAGAAGGGGGAGAACGGGGAGAAGCAGGGGCAACGGCCAGGGGGGGCGGGCGGCGGCTCCCGGGGGAGTGATATCGGCCCGCCAGCGCTCCTTCGCCGCCGATATGGGGCCGGACAGCCGCCTTCACTCCTCCCTCCCTCCCTCCCTCCCTCCCTCCCTCCTCCTTCCTCCCTCCTCCCTCCTCCTCCCTCCCTCCTCCCTCCTCCCTCCTCCTCCTCCTCCTCCTCCTCCTCCTCCTCCTCCTCCTCCTCCTCCTCCTCCTCCTCCAGCGGACCAGGTGCTCTCGTGGAGGGAGGATGGGGAGGAGGGAGCAGGAAGAGACCCGGCAGGAGGAGGAAGACGGGTGCGCGGCCCCCCCCCCCCGTTGGGCGCTCGCGCCCCCGCCCCTTCGTTTCGCCCTCGAGGGCCTATCGCCGATCTGTCGGCGATGCATCGCCGGCTCCGTCCAGGTCGACGTGTCCGCGCCTGAGCTGGTCCTCCTTTCTCGTTCCCCCTCGGAGAAGGAAAAAAGGGGAGGAGGGGAAGGCGGAGAACGGCTATCGCCGATCTATCGGCGATGCATCGCTGGCTCCATCCAGGTCGATGTGTCCGCGCCTGAGCCGGTCCTCCTTTCTCGTTCCCCCTCGGAGAAGGGGAAAAGGGGAGGAGGGGAAGGCGGAGAACGGGAGACGGGGACCAGTGAGGGTGCAGCTCTTGGGAGGTTCGGTTCAGTGTCGGCGCTGGTGTATGCGTGGTCGAAAACGGGCCGAGACCGACTTAATCCCGCTTGATCCGTTGAATCCGTTTCATCCGTATTTAATCTGGCTCAATCCTGGGCTTAATTTGGGCTAGCCCGGGTCAATGGCCCTTTAATCGGGCTTCTTAGATTGTAGTTGTTCTCGCGAAGACCTCCCAGAAGTTGCCTCCTGAGGACGGGGGAGATGTCACCCGTTTGCCACCGGCGCCTCTTCCAGCCTGTGCCGGCGCCGCCTTTGTTGTCTCCGCGAGCCCCCCTCGCCAGCCTTTTCCAGGCTGGGCTAGGGCAGAGATAAATCGGGGATCTGGGATCCGAGAACAGCGCCAGACCCGGCTCGTGTGAGGAAAAAGCCAAGGCACGGGATCGATCCTTCCAGAGCGTTCCGCAACGCTCCGGAACGGCCGCGGCGCGCGATGCATCGTCCAGAGCAGGTGGCTCTCAGAGATCCCTGGTTTGCCCCTGTCCGTTTTTTTTTTCCCTGGTTACTCCATCGCCTGCCTCCTGCCCGTTCCCGCCCACAGGACCCGGAGTCCCGGGTGGCATGCGAGGCCTGCACCAAGTCGAACATGGCGACGGGGAGGGGGGGCGCGGCTTCTTCGGAACCTCCGCCGTCCGCCTCGCCTGGCCTCTGCGGGCAAGACCTCTGCCCATGTCCACTGCGTCTCGTCTCGTTGTGCTCATCTTCCTCCTGCCCTCCTCCCCTCCTCCTCGTCGCTTCGTCTCGCTCCTCCTTCGTCGTTGTGGCTCGTGTGCGCCGTCTCCCGGTTCGGCCGCCGCGCCGCTGGCGGTGGAACTTGTCTCACCACTCTCTGTCAATGCACCTCTGACGTGCCCAGCTTCTCTCTCTCTCTCTCTATATATCCATCTCTCTCTCTCTCCCTTTCTCTCTCCCTCTCTCCTTCTCTCTCGGATTTTCGGACTCCCTTCTCCACAGGCCCGAGGCGCAGTGGGCATGGACAGGAGCCTTGCCCGCAGCCCCGCCTCGCCTCCGCCCTCGCGCTTGGCCACGCGCTCGTCTCGCCTCCTGCCCAGGGCTCGCTCGTGAGCGTGCCCGCGGGTGGGCGGCGAGGAGGCGCGAGGCAGGAATGGGGTAGGATAGAGGACGACGAGGGGGGAGGAGGAGGAGGAGGAGGAGGAGGAGGAGGAGGAGGAGGAGGAGGGGGGGGAGGAGGAGGAGGAGGAGGAGGAGGAGGAGGAGGAGGAGGAGGAGTCCGTAGTTATTTTGGCTCAAGTCCGTAGCGGCTTGCTGGAGGACAAGAGTTTTTGTGGCAAGGGGATCTCGCGGCCCCATTAGCTTGGCACCCCAGCGTGTGCGGTCTCACATCTTCGGTACTGTAGCTCTCGCTCTTACCCGTCCGCTCCCATGGATGGTTTCTCTCACTGGACGTGCCCGGACAAGAGGTGCGGCTGCAAAGGTAAGTTCTCGTGGGGGGCTACATGACTCGTGTGCAAGCAGGCGCCCCGTGGAGTCCCCGAGCCCAGGCCGGCCGGAGGCGCGCCGGGCAGTTGGGCCAAGGGGCCGGCACCGCGCGACGCTCCGACCAAAGGCAATGGAGTGCAGCTCACCGATGCTCTCGTGGCCATCTATGCTCGCGTGCCCGAGGAAGATTCCAAGTCCCTCTCGTCCTCGCTCGGTCCCTCCGCCAAGCACGTTGCCCCCGTCGTCAGCAAGAGAGCACCCGATGCGGGTGGGCCCGAGCCCGCCGCGCGTGCCGCTCGCCAAGACGCCGATGCAGTGCGCCAGCGTGTCAGCCAGGCTTAGGCCAAGTTCGACGTGGCCCAGTCTGCTGCCGCGCAGGACATGGCGTACATGGCGGAGTGTAAGCAGAACCTCGCCCGTCTCAAGCTCGAGGCTGACGCCGCCGCTGCCAAGGCCGCCGCGGCCTACAGCGCCATGGCCACGCAGGGCGGGGGCATCTCGGCCGCCGCGGCGCTCCAGCAGATGCAGGGCCTCCTCGCCGCGCTGCAGCAGTCCGCGCCCGAGGAGGCCGCCCAGCTCGAGGGGCTAGTGCAGGCAGCTCCGCAGCGTGTGCCCCCCCCCCCCCCCCCCCCCCCGCGGCCCCGCGGCTGGCCAGCCAGCCCAGGCCAGCGGGACAGGGGAGGCAGCGGGCCCCGCGGGCGGCGCGCTTGCTCCTGCTGCTGGTGATGGCGCTGGCGCTGGTGGGGCGAACGACAGTGACGGTGCGCAGCAACAGCAACCTGGACATGCCGACCCAATTTGTCCATGTACGCCGACCCCGACAGCGGCTTCTTCCGTGAGTTCTTGGCAGCCTGTGGCCTCGCCGTCCCCAGCGGCGCTGACGAAGCCGAGTCAGGCACCGAGGCCAGCGATACCGCTCTCGAGAAGGACGGCCTTCCCGCAAGTTCTTCCATGATCTCAGCAAGTCTGGCGTCTCTCGTAATATACCTCTCTTTTCGTCGTTCAGGTGGCAGCATGGAGCTCAGAGTCCTGGAGGTTCTTCCCAGCAGCTGGGCCGCTCGTCTGGCTCTGCTGTGTATCGGAGAGCCTCTGATGCACGCTGTCTTGCCCTACAGCAGGAGCATCGCTGGACAGAAAACCGCACAAACATAACCTCTGAGAGCTCTCCGCGGATTTCTTGGATCGGCGCTGGGCCCCCTGGCGGCGCCTCCAGCGCCGCCCCTGCCGCGCTCTGCGCGCCAGGGAGGGGGCCCCAGCGCCGATCCAAGAACTTTGCGCGGACCCCCGGACAGTTTATTCTTGTGCGGATTTCTTCTTCTTCTAGAGACCACCGAGCGCGTTCTACTACTCGCAGAAGTCCTACTCGCGCACGTCCGAAGAACCACGTTCGCCTTCTTTAATATAGCGTAAATCCCCCACACGGCGGATCCAGGCCATTTGCGAGTAGTGATTGTTCGAGTAGTGGAACGCGCTTGCCAGAGCCGCTGGATCTCTGATGTCCTTGGCTCATCGACTGCAAAGCCGAGTTCGGCAATGTGAGGACGGGCGTTGGCCCACCAAATTTCTGGATTGGACACCTGAGGGTTTGCGTGACCGGGCGCCCTCGACAGCGCTGCGCAGATTGATTTTCGAGTTTTTTTTTGTTGGAAAAAAAGTAGTGAGCAGGGCTGCCCTCGAGGGGCAAGAACGCAGGACCACTCGCAGCGCTGCGTCCTGTTCCTATTCCTGTTCCAATCTTGTCCCTGCTTCCTCGCCAACCTCCTGTCCGCTCCCGCCCCCAGGACCCGGAGTCCTGGGTAGCATGCGAGGCCTGCCCCAAACCCAACATGAAAAAAAACGATTTATGTCGATTTGGTGTTGTCCCGTTCTGGAACGCCACGGAACGGCCGCGGCGCCCGATGCATCCTCCCCAGCCGCTGGGTCTCAGAGGTCCCTGCTATATCTCGATCAGGTGTTGCCCCGTTCCCTTCGGCTCTGCGTGCCCTGTCCCCTGCGGCCCAGAGTGCCTTGTCTCCGATTTATCCTGACCCGATGCCCGCTTCTCCTCCTCGTCTTTGCTCCTCCTCCCCCCCCTCCTCCTCCTCCTCCTCCTCCTCCTCCTCCTCCTCCGCCTCCACCTTCTCCGATCCTGCCCTGTCCCGTTTCTGGATCCGCTTCCGCGTGCCCTGTCCTCCCCCCCGCGCCGTGCAGCCCGGCGTGCTCCCCGAGCCTCGGCGGCCGGAGTGCCCCCCCTTCCAGAGCCGCGCCGGGCCGCCGCGGGCTGCACACCGCTCGAGCGCTCAGCGCGTCGGTCGCTGCCCGCGAGGCCTCCGGAGCGCGCTCGGGGCCTACCCCTGGTACCTTTCCCAGGCCCCCTCGCGTCGTGAGCACAATCACGGCGGAAGGGTTTTGTAACGGCTTCGGCCTTGAGGGGGGCCCCCACGGGGCGCCTCTTGGGCTCGTCGCGAGCGGCTCAGGGCGGAAGGCCGGCCCCGGGGAGGGGGTGCAGGCCTCTGGGGTTCCACGTTGTGAGCAAGTCCTGGCGCTTTGGGTCTGGGGATGTCGGTCGTTGTCCGCACCTCCTCCGGGACATGCGCTGGACCATGCCTGGTTCCGGGCCTCTTTCCATCACTCGAGGAGGACATGCCAGCAGAAACATGAGCTTTCGCCGCGCGGCTTTCTTGGATCGGCGCTGGGCCCCCCTGGCGGCCCCTCTGGCGCCGCTCCTGGGGCACAAGGGGGCCCAGCGCAGATCCACGAAATCCTCGTGGAGCTCCGAAAGTTTGATGTTCATCTTTAAGCAGTTTCCATTATTTGATCACTCCGATGAGGCGCGGTTTCGTAAACTATATATGTGTATATATATATATAGAGAGAGAGAGAGAGAGAGAGAGAGAGAGAGAGAGAGAGAGAGAAAGAGAGAGAGAAAGAGAGAGGGGGTGGGAAGGAAGGAGCAGGCACCAGGGTCAACGATAGAGAGTGGGGATAGGCTCGGGAGGGAATGCATCGACCCCCTACCGCCCCTTCGTCGCCGACAGGGGCTCGATGGCCCACCCTGCCCAGGAACGTGCGGTTCCACTATTCAGAGTCCGTCGCCGTTCTGTCGGCGATGTACCGCCGATTCCTGGTCGATGTCTCCCCCCCCTTAGCGGGTCCTTCGAGGCCTCGAGGCAGAGAGCAGGGGATGTCAGGCAGAACCAGAGCGTCTTGGATCGCTCTGGAACGGCCGAAGGTGCACGATACATTCGATGATCCTCGGGACGTGTGTTTAGCCAAATGTGTGTGTGTTTTATTGTGTGTGTGTGTGTGTGTGTGTGTGTGTGTGCGTGTGCTCATCCTGCTTCAGCTCCGTCGATCGCATGCTGCCCGTGTTGGCCCTCAGTAACTGCGCCGCCTGCGTCGCATTGCAGGGCTTCGGTGGACAGACACACGCTGGCGCCAACACACGTTCTGAGGGTCATCGACTCATCCTCCAGAAGCGCTAGACCTCAGAGATCCCACACTCATCCTGACCCGACTTTAATCCTTTCCCTGCCTTCGTTACAGGACGTCTGGTGTGTGGCCTCGAGGACAGCATAACCCACCTCCCCCAGCCAGGACCCCCACTCCCGACCTGGCGGCGGTGGTGGAGGTGACGCTGTCTTCTAAGACGACCAGTGCTGATTTCGCTGTGCCGTGCTGCTCTCGTGGGGCTGCGGCATGCTCAACGCTTTCCTTTGGTGATCCAGGGGGTCCTGGTGGCTGGTGGTGAGTGTGTTGTTCTCGGCTGCCAGCGAGGGGGGGAAGTGAGAAGCTGAAGGCCTTCTCGGAAGGCGGCGGGGCTTCTCAGGAGCCCTCTGGCCTTCTGAAAAGTTTTCTGTTTTTTCGGGGAAGGCTCAGAAATCTTCTCTCAGAAGGCTGTGGGACTTCCGAGGCTTCCGAGAAGGCCCGCCCCTTTTTGCTTCCCCCTCTGAGCTTGCCGCCAACAGCAAGGTGCGGATGCGCTATCGGGGGCCCATTATCGCGGACCCTTCGGCGCTGAGTCGCCGATTCCAGGCCGATGCTACCCCACCTGGGCCAGCCCCCCGCCCCCCTCCTGTCGTTGCTTCCCAGGCAGGGGGGGGTCTCCAGCGCCGCCGACGTTGGCCTCAGAGATCCCCGAAGAGCCCTGGGCGCGCCCCCGATTCCAGCCTCGGAGAGCCCCGCAGAGCCCCGAAGAGCCCCGCGGGGCGGCCTGGGCGGCGGGGGGCCGGGCGGGCAGAGGCGCGCGGAGGCGCCTGGGCCGTGCCTCGGGGGGGAGGGAGGCTGGGAGGCGGGCGGCCCGCGGGAGGTGATGCTCCTTGGGGAGGTGGTCACCAAGGCTCCGGCGCTGCACGGCGTGTACCCCCCCGGCCGTGGAGGAGGAGGAGGAGGAGGAGGAGGAGGAGGAGGAGGAGGAGGGGGAGGAGGACGAGGAGGAGGAGGAGGAGGGGGGGAGGAGGAGGAGGAGGGGAAGGAGGAGAGGAGGAGGAGGAGGGGGGGAGGAGGAGGACGAGGAGGAGGAGGAGAGAGGAGGAGGGGGGGAGGGAGGGGGGGAGGGGACGACGAGGAGGTGGCAGGGGTAAGAGGATCGGAAGAGATGGGCGAGGACGAGGAGGAGGAGGAGGAGCAGTGAGATGACGCAGGTGAGCAGATGGATGATGAGGTTGTTGTGTTTGTGGTTGTTGTTGATGATGCTGGTGGTGATGGTGATGATGATAATGATGATGATGCTGCTGATGACGATGATGCTGTTGCTGATGATGATGGTGATGATGATGCTGCTGCTGATGATGATGATGATGCTGTTGCTGCTGCTGATGATGATGATGATGATGATGATGATGATGATGACTATAATGAGGAGGAGGAGGAGGACTTGATCTCGAGTGTCTTCCTCATATGCAGGAAGAGAATGGGGGAGCAGCAGCAGGAGAGTCCCAGAAGGACAGGGGCCCTGCGGCAGGCGGGAGGTTTTTGCCCTCGGTCCCAGGACCGCAGAATCAACGACGCAGGATAACATTTTCCTTGGCGCTAGAAGGCCCTAAGCCCTAAACAGCTCCTTCGAGTGCAAGAGGGCACCCTAGAGAGTATAGAGAGTGAAGAGATGTGACATCCATCCATCCATCCATCCATCCGTATATACATACACACATACATACATACATACGTACATACATACATACATACAAGCATACACACATACATACATACATGCATACATACACACATACACTCGAACACACATACATTCATTCATTCATTCATTCATGCATACATACATACACACATTTCTACACACATCCATACATACATACACACATACATGCGTACCTACCTACCTACACACATACATACACATACACACATCCATACACACATACTAACATACATACATACATTCATGCATATAGACATACATACATACATACATACATACACACATACATACATACATACATACATACATACACATACACACATGCATACATCCATACATACACATGCACACACATACATACATGCATGCATACATACGCGCACACATACACACATGCATGCACACAAACATGACATGCATACATACGTACATACGTACATGCACACATACACATAGACATACCTACCTACATACATACGTGCATACATACATACATGAATTCAGACATACATACACATACACACGTGCATGCATGCATACATGCATACAAGCTTATAGGCATACATTCATACACACATCCATGCACACATGTTGATACAGGTATTCCGAACAACATAACTTTCTGTATGGGAGACCATCGCGGAAGCCCTGAGGAATACCATCGTGGAGACCACATGGGAGACCATGAGGGAGGCTGTACAGGAGACCATACGGGAGACGAGACGGAACGGACGACGATACGGGAGACCCCGGATCGTGTGCCATTGCTTCTAGACCCGGAAGGTGTCACTGGTGCCTTGCAGAGATAATTTCGGACCCTTGCAAACAAGCTGTTCAGGGAGACCCTGGTTCTCAGGAAGGGGTCCAGACCTCTGGGAGGCGCGCAGTCGAAAAGAACACGAGGGAACCGCCTCGGGGACGAAGCCCTGGGGAAAAGCTGGGGACACGCCCAGGGGCGCAGGGCCCGTTTCCCCGTGCCCCTCGGGACCTGGTGCAGGAGGAGCTGGACTTTCTCTCGAGGGCTTGGGGAGCTGGAGTGGCAGCTACTGCCACGTGCGACGGGAGCTCTTCTCGACGCAGCGCCCTCTAGAAGCGAGGTTGTCAGGAGTGCAGATCTAGTCTGCTCGGTTCCAGAGCACCCCGCAGTGTCTTGTTGGCACGCCTCTGCAAATTCGTCCGTTGACTTGAGTTTTCGAGCCCTCCGCTCAGAAGGGGCCACCGAGATTGCCAGCAGGCCTCCAAGAGGCCCCAAGAGGTCCCACACATGCCCAAAAGAGGCTCCTCAAGGCTCCCAAAAGTCTTTCGAGAGGCCCCCAGAAGCCTCCTGACAGGCCAGACGACCGCGCGCCATAGCCTTCTTGGGGCTTCTCGGGGCCCTCTTGGGGGCATCTTGGGCCGTCTTGGGGATGATCGGGAAGGCCTCTTGGGCCGTCTTGGACGCAGTGAAGGCCGAAAAGTCGCATAAGCTGAACGGTTAGGTCTTCCCAAGGGAATGGAACAGTTTTTACCTCTTGGAGCTCTCTTGGGAGGGCTCTTGGAGGCCTCTTGGGACGTCGTGGAGGCCTCTTGGGCCGTCTGGAGGAAATTTGGAGCGTCTGGGACCGATCGCTCGGTGACTCGGAGCGTCCGAAAGGCCTTTTGGAGTCCTCTTGGCCCGTCTTGTGGTCCTCTTGGGGCTCTCTTGGGGCACTCTGGGGCCGTCTTGGGGCCCTCCAGGGGCGCTGCGGACGCAGCCCGGCCTGCGCGCCCAAGATCAAGGCACCGCCTTCTATGTATTTAGGTACCCCCTATATTAGTATAGCCACACGTCTATACACACCTCTCTCTTTATACATGTATGAAACACGGACATTGTCATCCATCCATACACATATCCATCGTTCATCGTTCACACATACCTGCACACATAATACACACATGCATCCATATCTACATACATACACACATCCACCCATCCACAATACACATACACACACGTACATACATCCATACATACATGCATACATGCATACATGCGTACAAACATGCATACATACACATATGCACACACATACATCCATACACACATACATACATACACACATGTATACACACATACACTCACACAATGCCACACACATACATGCATACACACGTACATACATACATAAATACATCCATACATGCATGCATGCATCCATACATAAAAAAAAACACACACATACATACATACACATATCCATACATACAAAGCACACATGCGTACATGCATACATACATGCATACACATATACACGGTTAAACATACACATGTACATACATGCGTACGTACATACATACATACATACATGCATCATGCATACACGCACACACATACATACGTACGTACGTACGTACATCCATCCATCCATCCATACATACATACATCCGCACACACACACACACCTATGCATACATCCATGCATATACACGTGTGTATATATACATACATACGTTCATGTATGGCATCCATACATACATGCTTACATACCTACCTACCTATATACCTTCCTACCTACGCACGTACGTACGCACATACTTACACACACATGCAGATCGATACATCCACACACATACATACAGACTACACACATACACATACACATATTTGCATACATGTGTATATATACACATATATATATATATATATATATATATATATATATTTATATATATACACACGCATACGTGTCTGTACATACATGTACACTTGCACACATGTAAAAAATATTTACAGGCTGATATATAAACATGTCTACATCTACATCTATATTCATATGTGCACACATGCATTCTATATAGATATCTCGATTGAGCGGAGCCTTTCGATCATCCCTCCGCCTAAACGCCCCCCCCCGGATCCCTGGTTCTGGGAGCCTTCTGGACGCTCCTTGACAGGGTCACCAGGGACTTCCGAGCTTTTGAGGATCCCCCCGACCCGTGCAAAGGGCCCTCTGGCGGTGCCAAGAGGCCCCCCGAGACGTCCCAGGAGCGCCCCAAGAGGGACCTAGCTGGCCGCAAGATGGCCCAATGGGCCCTGAAGACGCCCCAAGACGCCTTCAAAATGTCCCTCCCCAAAGCAAAATTCGTTCCAGTCCTGAGGAAAATAAATGTTTAGCATGTGCGCTTCGTTACTCTCAGCAGGGTCCAAGACGGCCAAAGAGGCCCCCTAGATCGCCCCAAGACTGCCCACGAGGCTCCTATGAGCGCCCCCAGACTGTCCAAGATCACTCCAAGACTGCCCAAGAGAGCCCCAAGATGGCCCAAATAGGACCCAAGAGGCAACCCCAAAAGGCTCCCAAGAAAGTCCCAAGAGGGCTATGGGATGCTTCCAAAAGGGCCCAAGATGGCCCCAAGTCGGCTTCCAGAAGGCTCTCGCCCCCAAAACGGTCCAAGAGGGCCCCAGGACGGCCCCAGAGGGCCCCAAGACGGTCCAAAAGCTCCCCAAAGGACCCCCACAAAGGCTTCGAGAGACAATATTCGTTGACGGCCCAACAGACCTCCAGGATCGCCACAAAACGGCCCAATAGGCTATCAATAGGGCCCCTCCGACGGCCAAGTAGGTCCTCTTCCTGACAGCGCCCTCCCCCCCCCCTCCCACTTCGCCCTCCTCTGCCTCTTCCTCCTCCTCCTCCGCCTCTTCCTCCTCCGACCTCCGCCCTCGTCCTCTTCCTCCTCCTCCTCCTCCGCCCTGCTCCTCCTGCTCCTCCTCCTCCTCCTCCTCCTCCTCCTCTTCCTCCTCCTCCTCCAGCTCGTCCTCCTCCTCCTCCTCCTCCTCCTCCTCCTCCTCCTCCTCCTCCTCCTCCTCCTCCTCCCTCCGTCTCCTCCCTCCTCCCTCCTCATCCTCCCCATCCTCCTCTCCTCCTCCTCCTCCTCCTCCCTCGTCCTCCTCCTCCTCCTCCTCCCTCCTCCTCCTCCTCCTCCTCCTCTCTTCTCCTCCTCCGCCCTCCTCCTCCTTCTCCTCCTCCTCCTCTCTCCTCCTCTCCTCTCTCCTCCTCCTCCTCCTATCCTCTTCCGCCTCCTCCTCCGCCTCATCCTCCTACCGCCATCCTCCTCCCCTCCTTCCTCCGTCTCCTCATCCTCCCCTCCTCCTCCTCCTCCTCTTCTTCTCCTCCTCTTCCTCATCCTCCTCCTTTCTCCGCTCTCCTCCTCCTCTTCCTGCTCCTCCTCCTCCCTCTTCTCCGCCGCCCTCCTCTTCCGCCCGTCTCCTCCTCCTCCTACTCCTCCGTCCTCCCTCCTCCTCCTCTCCTCCTCCTCCTCCTCTCCTCCTCCCCCCTCCTCCTCTCCTCCTCCTCCTCCTCCTCCTCCTCCTCTCCGCTTTCCTTCGCCTTTCCTCCTTCTCCTCCTCCGCCCTCCTCCTCCTCCTCCGCTCTCCTCCTCCTCCTCCTTTTCCTCCTCCTCCTCCTCCTCCCCCTCCGCCCTCGTCTTCCTCCTCCTCCTCCTCCTCCGCCCTCCTCCTCCAGTCATTTTCCTTATACATACTTTCTCCTTGTGGCACCGCGGGGTAAATTTTAAGGGTAGACCGGGCGTTTCCCGGAGTTATCCTCACCATATCGGTCCCTGAAGCATCGAAAGTGGCAACAGTTTCTCAGATGGAGGGCGGGTGGTTTTCAACATGTGGCTCTCGCCTTAGCGCCGTGCACATTCGTTTTCAACATTTGCAAGAGGTTCACGGATTGAGGGGTGGTGGTTTTCAAACTGTGGCTCTCGCCTAAGCGCGACGCACATTCTTTTAAAACATTAGCAGGAGTTTCACGGATTGAGGGCGGGCGGTTTTCAAACTGTGACTCTCGCGTTAGTGCCGCGCACATTCGTTTTAAACACCTGCAAGAGTTTCACATATTGAGGGCGGGTGGTTTCGAAACTGTGGTTATCGCCCTAGCGCCGCGCACATTCGTTGTAATCATCTGCAAGACTCATGGAGGAGAGTGGTTATCAAGTTATGGCTCTTGCCTTAGCGCCGCGTGCACTCGTTTTGAAAAGCTGCAAGGGTTTCACGGATTGAGGGCGGTTCTTTTTCAAGATGTGGCTCTCGCATTAACGCGGCGCGCATTCCTTTTAAACATATGCAAGTGTTTCACGGATTCCCATGACCAGCGTACCAGAAATAGTGATTTGAAAGGATTCATGATTTTGCTGGTGCAACAGTTATGTTGATTCGCGGTGTTGGAATCCCATAAACGGCGTTCTGGCATGATTCTAGTTCGTCAAGACGCAGCAGTCAGGTTGATCCGTGGCGTTGAAATCCCGAGAACAATTTATTGACATGCTTCAGGATCTTCAAACGGCTGTCTTCCAACGAGGCAGTTCCCTCAATGGAAATGAACCGTTGTAGGGGCCTATGAAGAGGAAGCTTGGAGGGAGGGTTACAGCAACATCTTTGATGACTCTTTGGTTTATACTGGTCCTCCTCCTCCTCCTCCTCCTCCTCCTCCGCACTCCTCCTCCTCTTCCTCCTCCTCCTCCTCCTACTCCGCACTCCTCCTCTTCCTCCTCCTTCTCCGCCATCTTCCTCCTCATCCTCCTCCTCCGCTCTCCTTCTCCTCCTCCTCCGCACTCCTCCTCCTCCTTCTCCCTCTCCTCCTCCGCCCTCCTCCTCCAACCTCCTTCTCCTCCTCGTCCTCCTCCTCCTCCTCCTCCTCCTTCTCCTCTGCCCTCCTCCTCTTCCTCCTCCTCCTCCTCCTCCTCGTCCTCCTCCTCCTCCTCTCCTTCCTCCTCCTCCTCCTCTTCCTCTTCTTCATCCTCCTCCTCCTCCTTTTCCTCCTTTCTTCCTTCTCCTCCGCTGCCCTCCTCCTCTTTCTCCTCCTCCTTCGCCTCCTCCTCCCCCCTCTCCTCCTCCTCCCTCCTCCTCCGCCCTCGTCCTCCTCCTCCTCCTCATCCTTCGCCTCTCCTCCTCCTCCTCCTCCTGCTCCTCTTCCTTCTCCTCCTCCTCCTCCTCCTCTCCTTCCTCCTCCTCCTCCTCTTTTTCGTCCTTCTTCTCCTCCTTCTCCTCCGTCTTCTCCTCGTCCTCCTCCTCCTCCTCCTCCTCCTCCGCCTCCTCCTGCTCTCCCCCTCGCCTTCCTCTCCCACTCCTTCCGCCTCCGTCCCTTTTCATCCTACTCGTTCTTCCCCGTCCTGCGGCGACTTCTGGAGGCCCCCAGATGGGCCCCGGAAGCCCCAGACGAGCCAGACGTTCCCAAGACTCTTCTGCGATTTCCGACCGCCTAGTCCCGGGGATGGAGTTTCATCCCGACAGAGGACGGCAAAGGATCGAGGTTCGAGATTCGACGGTCGAGGTTTTCCGACCGTTCTTCGTCTTTTCGGAGCCTCTGGTGGTCTCGTCGCCGCATGTCAGGGTCCACCTCGAGATTCGGTCCATTGCGGCCCAACTGTACTTTGGGGAGCTGGCCGCACTTGGAGGCCAGGGCGGATGGCGCGAAGAGCCACACTGCACGAAACTCCAAGGGCCAAGGTGCATGGCGCGAAGCGCCAATGCAGTCTTTTTTGTTGGTGTGTGTACATATATATATATATATATACACATCTATATATATATATATAGATATACACATATATATATATATATATATGTACATACATATGTATATATATATATATGTGTGTATACGAGTTGCCCCTCACACGGCCTGACTCTATTGATGTCCGCCGCCTGCCAAGGTCCCCGAAGATCGATCCCCCCGGGCGGTGGTTTTGGACATCGCAGACGTCGAGGACAAACTCGCCGATGTCCTCGGTGATCCCGGGCCGGGGCCGGCCCAGGTCGAGCGCGCGGAGAGAGGGGCGGCGGGCCGCGGGGGCGGACTCCTTCGGGGCCGATGGGCAGCACGGGGGTCCGTGTTCGGCTGCGCAGGGCTGCGACGGCTCGTGTTGGATCGGGCGTGCCCCCCTGCAGGCAGAGTTGGACGGAACGAAAAAGACATCGTCGCACGATGCTCGACAGACGTTCAAAAGAATGGTCAAGCAGTCGTCCCCAGACTATTTTTTTCGGCTATTTTGGAATCTTTCTCCTGTAGAGGGACACGCCCGACCAAAGGTTCGTGTTTTTTCGCGACGCGAGGACGTCGGGGTCGGCGTCGCCTCGACCGATCTTCGGCCCAGAAGGCCGCCGTGGGCGGCCTCTTCTGGGCAGAGGGCTCCGGTTGGTGGGCCAGTCTTCCACCACCGCTGCCACATATAGAACGGGGGAGAAGGGAGGATGGGCGGGTCCTCCTCCTCCTCTTCCTCCTCTTCCTCCCTCCTCCTCCTCCCTCCTCCTCCTCCCTCCTCCTCCTCCTCCTCCTCCTCCCTCCTCCCTCCTCCTCCCGCCTCCGCCTCCTCTTCCTCCCCGCCTCCCCTCCTCCTCCTCCTCCTCCTCCTCCTCCTCCTCCTCCTCCGCCTCCGCCTCCGCCTCCTCTGTCTTCCTCCTCCTCCTCCTCCTGGTCCTCCTCCTCCTCCTCCTCCTCCCCATCCTCCTCCCTGTCCTACCTGTGGTCGTGGTGGTGGAACGTCGGCCCAGCAGAGGGGGGGCAGCCGGCCTCGGGGGCGGGCTCTGGCGGGGCCCCCGCGGTGAGGCCGCCGTGGACTACGAGCAGCTCGTGCGAGAGGCCGGCCCAGCCCTGGCGCGCGCGCGCGACCCGGCGGGCGCCTCGGAAGCTATACTCCGGATTCCGCAATAAAGTGGTGGGGGTCACATTTGGGGGGGGGGGTCTGATTTGAGCTGTCTTGAGGGTTCGGGGGGGGGTCTGGGCAAAGGGCCGCTCTTTCGTGGATGGTCTGGGGGGTCTAAAACTTCTCGTCTGAGAGGGTTGTGACCCCCTCCCCTTTCTTACGAAATCTGGAGTACCCGGGAGGGAAAACAGCACACAGGCAGAAACAATATCGTCGATTCCCCAGAAAATGTGACAGCTGTGGGATACACGACTGGGCCGTGCGAGTTAGGCGGTTTCACGCGTGTGCACGCGCCGCTGCGCCCCGCCCCGAGCTCGAACGCTTCCTCGGCGTTAATGGCGTGGCCCGCGCGGGCTCGGGTGCTCTTGCGAGCGCGCTGCCGAGGTGCAGGTCGACCATCTTCAGGAACAGGAAAGGGCATTGGAACTCGGTGGGGATGCGGGGACTGAAGCGGCGGAGGAGGTGGAGCGCGCTAGGACCATGCTACGTCGGAGCAACTTGTTGGGGCGGCGGCTCAGGCGCCGCGCGCGCCCCTGAACGGCATCCGGGACCCAGCCGGCGCCGAGGAGGGCGGGGGGGCTCGCCGAACGCAGCGCTGGGGGGGGCAAGACGAGCATCCCTGAAATTGGGAACAGGTGGGGGATCCTGGGGTTGATGTCTTTGTATCTGTGGTTCCCGGGGCCCCATTCAGCTATTTCGATGAACGAAACATGACATAAACATAATTTCTCGGAGGTCCGCGCGGATCTCTTGGATTGGCGCTGGGTCTTCCTGGCTCGCCAGGGAGGGGTTTTCACCCCCTATCCAAGAACTTCGCGCGGAGCTCCGGAGGTTAATGCTTGTATGCTTCTGCATGCACTTTTTCTTTCTCTATATACTCCCAGACCTCCGACGACATGATTTTCTCAATCCCAGCGGTTGTTCCTCGATTTCGGCCCGGACGGGGCTAGGACGAGGGTAAATCCGTTCCAGGGCGTTCCGGAACGCTCTCAGAGCGTTCCAGAACGCTCTGAGAAGGCCGCGGCGCCCGAGACATCCTCCAGATCCGCCGGACCTCAGAGTTCCTGGATTGATTTATCCTTGCGCGATGTTCTCCTCGTCCTGGCTTCGTCTTGCGCGGTGGCCGTTTTCGATCCTCGCGGCCATCAAGCACGGATCCGGGGCGAGGAGCTACACCCGGGGAAACGGTCGGGACCGCCGGGGCCGCGCCTTTGGAAAATTCGCACACCACCGAATTTCAGAAACGTTGCACATCCATGCTGTTTTTGGACCCTGACCCCGCCGATTTTTGTAAGGGATGCCACCGAATTTCAGAAATGTGGCAAATCCCTTGTGTTTTTGGACCCTGACCCCGCCGATCTGCGTGAGAGGTCAGGGATGTTCGCCATGGAGCAAGGTCGGGCCCCGAAGGAGCCTGTGGTCTCACGAGTTCCTCCATGGGGGCCCCCATGGGACCCTGGGACCGTAGCAGCAACGGCTCGGGATGAAGACGTGGTCTTGGGGGGGGGACTGAGCATCGCTCGGACGTGTGCATTTTTCCTTCGGCGAGGGCCATCGAGGAGCATCCTTGATCGTTTGGCGGAAAAGCCACGCACGAAACCGGAAAAAAACACATAGAATGGACGTCCGAGCGATGGCCCGTAGCAGCAACGGCTCGGGATGAAGAACTGGTCTTTTGGGGGGAAGGCCCCAGGGGCCAGGATCCGCTTCCCTGAGGATTCGTCTGCTTCCTGCCAAACTCTGGGCTCTAGCGAGTCCTGCCACGCATGCTCTTTCCAGTTTAGAGAATGTGCTGTTGCGCCACAGGTCCAGCTTGCTGGTGGCAGTCATGTTGATGTTGGAAAGCATCAGATTTCCCATCCTCGGAGATGCCTGTCCCCGTGGCGGCTGGAAAGTATGCACCTCTACGGAGGGGGCCTGCCAGGGTCTGAGCTCTCCAGCCGCCCAGAGGGGGAGCAGGCGTCCCCCGTGGAGGGGATGCTCATGTTCGCAGGCCTAGAGGTTGACACCAACACCAATATCGGCGGTGTGCCTCCGCCGAGGGAAGAAGATCCCGATCTCGGTGGTGGTGGTAATATTCTGGCTTCCAAGGTGACCGAAATATTGCCACCAACACCGAAATCTAGGATCATATTCCCCATGTGGATGCAACCCCCTGTGTTGGTGTTGGTGCCCATTTCTAGGCCTCCAACATGTCATACGAATCTTCACTCGCCAGCGAGTCGTCTGCGACCGAGTGCGAAGCCTGCCCCTGCGGGTCTGGTCGACGCTGGAGCATCGGACACCTCTGCTGGGCTTCGCTGCTCAAGTGGCTCTAGACGTCCATCGCGCTCTTAGCCCCAGCCGGCGCTTCGGAAGTCTTGCCTGCAGAGGGGCTCTCACACGTGGTCGAGCAAATCAGAGGCCACCTGGAAGCCGTTCAGAGGCCCACTCGGAAGCCCCCTCGCACAGACATCCGACGTTGTGACTTTTTGACAGTGTGGCTCCCCAGAGGTGTGGACCCTCTCCCAGGGACCCGCTCTCCTTTTTTTGGCGGCGAGTGAGGGGGGGAAGTGAGAAGTAGAAGGCATTCTCAGAACGCGGCGGGGCTTCTCAGAAGGCCTCCAGCAGCTTTCCTGTGTCTTAGCGGAAGGATCAGAAAGCTTCTCATAAGGCCAGGGGATCTTCCGAGCCTTCTGAGAAGACCCGCCCCTTCTCATTCCCCCCCCCTCGCTCGCCGCCGAATGTTGAGTTGTTTTCTGACGGCCTTCGGGGCCCGATTGGTGCCCACGTAGGCCGGAGGCTGCCAAGAGCCTCGCGTGGAATTTGGCTTAAGTCGGGTATGTCCCTCTACAAGGGGGAATATTCAAAAGTAGTAGTCAAGAAATAGTATTGGGAGGATTATCGGACCATTTTCGAATGTTTTTGGATCATCTTTCGAGTACTTTTCATTCTGAAGGCCTGACGGCCAGTGCCGCGGACCCTGAAAGACATCGACGACGACCAGGAGAAGGAGGAGGAGGAGGCGGAGGAGGAGGAGGAGGAGCAGGGATAAGGAGGAGGAGGAGGAGGACGAAGAGGAGGAGGAAGAGGAGGAGGATGAGGAGGAGGAGCAGGAGGAGGAGGAGGAGGAGGAGGAGGAGGAGGAGGAGGAGAGAAGGAGGAGATAAGAAGGAGAAGGAGGAGGAGGAGGAGGAGGAGGAGGAGGAGGAGGAGGAGGAGGAGGAGGCTGGAGGAGGAGTATTTTTCGAGTACTCTTTTATCTTTCGCTCATTTGCCTGCTGGCAGGCATGCTGCTGGGCCTGCAAAGGGGCAGCCGGCTGGGGTCTCCTTCGAAGGGCTCGTTTTCGGGCCTGGCCTGTGGGGACTTGTGGCGCGAAGCGCTCGTCTCGGCCTCGTAGAGGAGTTTGCCGCTGCCCACCAAACCACTCCAACCCAACCCGGAGGCCTCAATTTGCCCTCCATCTCCAGTGCGGGGGGGGGGGGGGTCGGGGAACCTTGAAGAACAAAAACGTATGGAACCCGTACCCCCCCCCAACCCGGAGGCGGCGATCGCAGACATGGACCGAGGGGGCTGGCCTTCCCAGGAGGCGGCGATCGCAGGCAGGGGTCGAGGGGGCGTGGGTCAGCGTTAGGTGGGCGCGTCCCTCTGCAGGAGGAATCGATTCAAGAATAGCACACAAAAAACATAGTCTGGGGCCGATTTTTTCGACGATTCTTGAGCATTTTTGGAGCATTTTTTTTTCGCCCCAAATCCGGCTGTAGGGGGACATGCCGGACCTAGGATTAGCGACGGTTCCCGTTGCCATAAAGAATCGCGGATTTCCGCCGCCGAGTGAGGCGGCGCCGGCCGCATTTTTGGGGAGGGGCACCTCCCCCGATCCATGGATTTGGCGACCGCGCGCCAAATCCATGGATCGCTAATCCATGTTTGCGCGCCCCCGACTCTCAGGCGGCGGTGGGGGCTGCTCAGAAGCCCTCGGGCCCGCTGGCAAGCCTTTTAAGTCGGGCGCGTCCCTCTACAGGAGAAATATCCAGAAATAGTAGAGAAATACTCAGGGGACGACTTCTGATTATTTGGTAGATCATTTTTGCAGATTTCAAGGGCATTTTTCATTGTTCTTCTAAAATTAGAAACTGTCTCAGCAGTCTGGAGGCCTTCCGAGCCTTCTGAGAAGGCCCGCCCCTTCTGCCTTCCCTGATCCTACAGGGGACCGCTGTGGCATCTGAGGACTTCCTCATCCTCCGCTTCCTCTTCCTCCAAGGGGGACCTTTTGGGGCCTGGGGATCTCTTCGGGTGTGTTGCACCCCCCCCAGCTCAAGGGGCCTCCAGACAGCGTACTTTACCACCAGCAAGAACACACAGCAACATATAGCACCGTGGAAACCTACTTTTGCCACTGCTGATATCATCCCTACCCCACCTCTTGCAAGAGCCTGTAGGCCACGCGGGCGGTGGGCTACGACAGCGATGAGAAGGGCATGGATTCGCGCACCATGAACGTCATAGTTGCCTTAGAGGAGCGTCGGTGTCAGCTCTTTCATGCCAGACAAGGCGGGGGTAGCAAGGAGGTACTCGAGAGAAATAGTAGACAACGAGGACCAGCAATCGGCAGCGATCTGGAATAGACAGCGGGGAGGAGGATAACTAGGAAGATGATGATGAGGTGGAGGATAGCTATGACATGAAAGGTCGGTAGTCGTCACTGTCATTGGTATTATGAGCTGGTCGCTGACTTCAGCTCCAGGTCGATGGCTCCAGGGCCAAACGAAACACTAACTCGGCCTCGTCCTCAGTGTAGGCCTCGTATAACGCTTTGCCCATTAGTACATGCACTATAGCGCACATGCCTTGATGTAGTCACGGGGTGGTTGGCTAAGGAAGAGAAGGGTACTGTCAGAGCTGAGAGAAGAATGTGGGTTTGCCCGTATGTCCCCGTCTGTAAATCTTTCAGAGTTGCGCAGTAACGGGTTATCTCGCGAATAAGGTGGCGCCAACACTTGTTAATCCAGGTGGCATGACTCGGTATCTGCGTGCCGCTCAACAGTTTAGCCGACCTGCTTGGAGTTAGTCATGCACGTACACAAGGAGCGTCTCCCAGATGCATCCCTGCGGGCGGTAGCCGCATTTCCTGAATTAGGATGGCTGAACATCTTCAGAATGGATTGGTGCACTCTGCTCAGGGTCAACGGTTTCGACTGACAGCTCCGCTTCGGATGTGGATCTCGTTTGTCTTGCTTTGTGACAACGACATACCTCTTGTTCTCGATTGCCGACGAGTTGCAGGAAGCCGAATACGTTGTTCGGATTTGAATTACATGGAAATGGGATTATCCATTCTTTCATTGCGCACGAGCAGCTGTTTTTCCAACGCGAGCCTTCCTTCAATGGATGCACAGAGGCATTTGCCTGCACCAGTTGTTTCGGATCTCGGGCATGAGGAACATTTGTCGCTTCGGAAAGGGCATTTGTCTTTATTGTAGGATGAGGATGCTTTTCGACTGGTTGTCCTTACAAAGACATTCTTGACATGTCCTTGGTGCAAGAACGACGCTAGGGTATCGCCGACAGGGCAGAACATTCAATAAAATCAGCTAGCCAGGCTTTCAACGTTCCTGAAACACCACGGTCTTCAGTGCCTCTCACAAGTAATTGCCACTGTGATCGAGCAGATGCCGCAGAACTGCTGTGAACATCTGGAGGTCAGCATGCCGCTCAGGCATTTGCCTCTACTGATGTGTCATTCGGATGCTACTGGCTCAAGCTTGCTTTCGAGGTGGCATTGTTCATCCGGTGTTCTGCAATAGCGCCAGTGTCACGATGGCTCACGTGTGTCGTCGCCGCCCTTCCTCTTATGCGCGACTCCGCCCGCATTATTTTTTTTGGTTTCTGTTCATGGCTCAAGTTGCGTGAGCGATGAGATATGAGTGGTGGCGATGACCAGATTTGACCGGGTGTTGTGATGGCATTCGAAGCCCATGAGGCTGGCCGACGCTTGCGACATACTGAGCGAAGGTCCTGAGAGCACACGCGCATGCTTCACGCTACTGCAGGCTCCAGCACCGGCCTTTCTGGTGACACCGCGACGCTATTACCGTACCTCCCCTGACATCCGACGTCGTGATTTCCTGAGCAGGGAATGCTTCAATGCGGTCTAGATTGCATTGTAGCAGCCTGTATCTGAGGAAGAGAAGGCGAAACATTTGTTGCCAGAGTGCCGTGCCGTGTGGAGGAGGAGGGGGGAGGGGGAGGTGGAGGGGGAGGGGGAGGAGGAGGAGGGAGGAGGAGGAGGAGGAGGAGGAGGAGGAGGAGGAGGAGGAGGAGGAGGAGGAGGGGAGGAGGAGGGGGTGGAGGAGGAGGAGGAGCAGGAGGGGGAGGAGGAGGAGGAGGAGAGGGGGAGGGGGAGGAGGAAGAGGAAGAGGACAAGGAGGAGAACAAGGAGGAGGCGGAGGAGGAAGACACAGGAGGAGGAGGAGGAGGAGGAGGAGGAGGAGGAGGAGGAGGAGGAGGAGGAGGAAGAAGACAAGGAGCGTTTTAGAGTGCGAGTCGTTTGCCTCGCAGTCTCGTGTCGTGCCTTCGTGCTGCCGTCCTGCGTGCCCAGTCTCCAGGGTGCGCAGAACGTGCCGTGCCGTGCCGTGGCGTGGCCGCATGCCATGCCGCGCCGTGTGGTGCCGTGCCGTGCCGTGCCGTGCCCCGCGCGCCGTGTCGTGCCGCGTCTAGCAGCCACGCGCAGAGGGGGTGGGGTGAGGGGTGAGGGGCTTCCCAGGAGCACCCCTGCTTCCCAGAGGGCGCGGGCCTCATCTGTAGATGTAAGGCTGGCGCCTTCCAAGAAGCAGCCTCCTCTAAGAAGCCCTCCCCCCTCCCTCCAAGTCTAGGTCTCGGACTGCGAGGCCGTGCGGCGTTGGCCGTGCAGTCTCGTGCCGGGCCCGCGTGCCGTGCCCGTGTGCCGTGCCGTGCCGTGCCCTGCCCTGCTCAGGTGCCGTGCCTGGGCTCCAAGGCAGCAGCTGTTAATTCTATGCGCCGCGAAGAGTGTACCGTCAGAGCGCTGTGTCCGTGCCGTGCTGTGCTCGTGTTCTGGAGTGCGAGAAACGTGACGCCGCGTGCCGTGCCCGCGCGCTGTGCCACCCCCGTGCCGTGCCGCGTGCTCCAGAGTGCGGGTCATGTGCCGTGCCGTGCCGTGCCCGCGTGCCGTGCCGTGCCTAGGAGAGCCTCGAATGCGACAGGTGTGCCGTGTTGGCCGTGCCGTGCCTTGCCGTGCTTGTGCTCTGGAGTGCGAACTGTGCGGTGCCGTGCCGTGCCGTGCCGTGCATGTTTTTGATCATGCAGCGTTGATGTTTAGGGTCCCCAGCGTGGCTGACTTGCAGCCATCAGCATCTCATCCCGTGCCGTTTTCTGACGGCCCCAGGGCCCGGCCAGGGCCCCCGGAGGTCGGGCATTATCAACATGTCCCGCCGTGTTCCTTGCACGGCGCGAGGATGTCATGGTCCGAGCTCGGTGCGCATGACACTCGTGGCACGCGGTTCCCCTATGAGGAAAATTCTGGAGGCCTCGCACGGCGCGCAATAGTTGTATTATCTATTCCACCCGTCCGCCCCCTCATCTACGGGGCGACGTTCGCGCCGCGATGTCACGACGTAAGTCCGACGTAATTTCGACGTGAACCCGACGCAAACCCGACGTGGATCCGACGTGACTTGGGTCTCAAGTTGCCGCGCGAGGCCTCAGGTTTTCAGGGGGAGGAGGAAGGAGGAGGAGGAGGAGGAGGAGGAGGAGGAGGAGGAGGAGGAGGAGGAGGGAGGAGGAGGAGGAGGAGGAGGAGGAGGGAGGAGGAGGATAGGAGGAGGAGGAGGAGGAGGAGGAGGAGTGAGGAGGAGGAGAGCGCGGATGGTTGTGGTGGTGGTGGTGGTGGTGAGGAGGAGGGAGGAGGAGGAGGAGGAGGGAGGAGGAGGATGAGGAGGAAGAGGAGGAGAGGAGGAGGAGGAGGAGGAGGAGGAGAAGGAGGAGGCAGGGAGGAGGAGGAGGAGGGGAGGAGGAGGAGCAGGAGGAGAGAGGAGGAGGGAGGGGAGGAGAAGGAGGAGGAGGAAAAGGAGGAGGAGGAGGAGGAGGAGGAGGAGGAGGAGCGGAGGAGAGGGGGAGGGAGGAGGGAGGGAGGGAGGGGAGAGGGAGAGAGGAGTTGGAGGAGCAGGAGGAGGAGGAGGAGGAGGAGGAGGAGGAAGAGGGAGAGAGGAGGAGGAGGAGGAGGAGGAGGAGGAGGAGGAGGAGGAGGAGGATGATGAGAAGGAGGCAAGAGCCACCCAGACCCACATAATCTGCGTCTCTTCCCATAGTACAGGCCGATGCAAATGGTTCGTTTTGGACGGGAAATCCGTTCAACAGTGTTCCGGAACGCCCTCAGAGCGATCGGACGGGGCTAGGACGAGGGTAAATCCGTTCCAGAGCGTTCTGGAACGCTCTGAGACGGCCGCGGCGCCCGAGACGTCATCCAGATCCGCGGGATCCCAGAGCTGCTCGATTTATGTTGCCCTGCTTTCAACCTCCTCCTGTCTTCGTCTTATCAATGGGCTCCATACCCTGACCCACGTGTGTGAGTCTGACAACGCCCATGGCGCTCAAAGACTCGGTGGGTAGACGACATCGAGCCACATGTGCTGGTAACCGCAGGCTGCGACAAGTGGATGCAGGCTGCAAAGTCAGAGGCGCGTGACCATCCGAAAGACGGCTGCATCAAGAAGTGAGCGGGCCTCGCCCCTCCCGGCAGCTCCCTTGTGGAGCCTTGCTCCAGATTCCGTTGCTAGTTTCCGGTTGAGTATTTCGAAGAAGCGAAGCGGCATGAACATAACGTTCGGAGGTCCGCGCGGATTTCCTGCGCTGGGCCCCCGTCCTTGGCGCGCGGAGCGCGCCAGGGGCGGCGCCGGAGTCACCGCCAGGGAACCCAAGCGCCAGGGGGCCCAGCTCCTCCTGGACCTCTCCCTCGTCCTCTTTCTCTGCTCCTGGTTCTCCTCCTCCTCCTCCTCCTCCTCCTCCTCCTCCTCCTCTCCTCATGGCCCTCCCAGTCCTGTGCGCTCACTTCGCACAGTCCCGTCCCGCTCGTCTCCTTCCCGCAGGCGCGCGTGCTGTTAGGTATCGTCCTGTGGGGGTGCTCATCGTGAGGGTGGCCCGCCCGCCCACCATTGTTCGGCACCGTCCAACTCCAGACATGCTCGTGTCGCAGCAAAACACACGATCTGTTTATCTTTGCTGTTTTGGACCTTGGGGGACCCTCGCGAGGCCCCGGGACCGTCAAAAACGACTCGAGATGAAAACTTGGCCCTGGGGCGGGACTTCCAGGGACCCCGTGTCGAAAACATTTGGGCATCGCGTGTCTGTGGCTCATGATTCCGGTGGGGGGTCCTGCGGATTCCTGTGGGGATTCCTGTGGATTCCTGTGGGGAGTCCTGCGGATTATGGATTCCCCCTCGGGAAGGGGGGCGGCGTGGCGCGTCGCGAAAAGCTGCGGCGGAAGGTTTCTTGGCAGCTCCCGGTCTCCCGGGGGGTCGCCTGCGCGGGGCCCCGGGGCCGTCGAGGTCGATGCTCGGGACGAGCGGCCCGCCCTCCTGGGGAGGGGCGCCCCCGACCTCTGGGGGGCCGCGCGGGGGCCAAGAGTGCCGACGTCGGATGTCTGGAGTCGATGCCGGGCATAGTCAGGACCCGAGGTAAGTGAGGGGGCCCGGTTAGTAGTAGTAGGGCCCGGGAGGGCCCCCAGGTTGGCCGGCGTCACCAAACCAGGTCTGCCGCAGCTGGCGTTTTCAATGGGTCCAGGTCCCATGGAATCCAGTTCTGCCGGCGCTCGACGATGGTCGCTGAACGCCTGCGGTAAGCCTCGTTGTCGTCGGAACCACCCCGATCCCCAAACGGCGTCTCGCCCCGAATCCCACGGAGAGAATCGAGCAGCCCCCCCTGCGCAGCTGCTCCCGCTGGGCGGCCCGAGCCTTCCGCGGGCGGGCTGGAGGAGAGCCCGCCGAGGCGCGGAGCCCTCGCGTCGGCTGGCGGGATCCTCGCGTCGGCTCGAGCCCTCGCGTCGGCTCGAGCCCTCGCGTCGAGCCCGCCGTGAGTCTCGGCTCGCCTGGAGCCGAAACGCGGCCGCCGAGCTCGATGGGCTGCTCTCCCGGCGAGCCCCCTCTGGGCGGGGGTGGGCTCTGCGACGCCCGGCGGAGGGGAGGCCCCGAATTTGCTGCGGGCAGGCGCAGGAGCAGGAGGCGGGGCAGGCGCGACGGAAGAGCCACAGGTGCGCCAGCGGAAGACACCTGGGACGCGGCGGGCACGGAAGACGGCAGGGAAGGGCTCAGGATAGTGTCAGGAGCTGGTTTCCCTCTTGCCCCCAGACTCAGGTGGGGGGATCATCGGCCAGCGGGGCCAAGGCGTCCCTGGTGGGGGTGGGGATGGTCTTGCTTGTGCAGAACTTGCTCTCCTGCCCTTTCGGCCCTCCACGAGTTCGTTGTCGACCTCCTCCTCGTCATCCATCGCTGCTGCCCCCTTGTACGGTTCAGTCGGTCGTGTCCCTCTACAGGAGGAGTATTCAAACATAGGAATAAAAAGTCGGGGGACGATGTTTGGACCACTTTAGGCCGTTTTAGTGTTTTTTATTGTTGGGGCATTTTTCACCTTTCGTCCCAAATTCTCCTGCAGGGCGACATGCCCGATTTAGGCCTCGTCGTCCATCGCTGCTTCCCCCCCTGGTACGGCCAGGAGCAGAGTCCGGACCTCGCTCAGGGCGTGGGCTTGGCGAAGGCAGCCTCTCGCTGCCCTCCCCTCCCTTCCCGTGCTCTCCTTTTTGGTGCCCCCCGCTCGATATTTCTCCGAGGCGGGCGGCGGTGACGATGGCGACGGCTATGGGAAGCGTGAGGCGGAGGGAGGGGGAGGAGAAGGAGGACAAGGATGAGGATGAGGAGGATGAGGAGGACGAGGAGGATGAGGAGGAGGATGATGACGAGGAGGTGGAGGAGGAGGGAGATGACGCGCAAATATGGGTCCTGGCCTCGTCAAACGTGGGTCTGGGGGACGACGACGACGACGACAACGATGATGATGATGATGATGATGATGATGATGATGATGATGATGATGATGATGATGATGATGATGCTGATGCTGATGATGATGATGATGATGATGATGATGATGGTGACGATCATGGTCTTGATCATGATCATGATAATGATGACGATAAGGACGGTGACGATACAGATGTCGAGGATGATGTTGATGACGACGGCGACGATGTTGATGATGATTGTTATGATGATGCTGCTGATGATGAGGCTGCTGCTGATGATGATGGTGCTTGTGATGGTGGTGGTGGCGGTGGTGGTGGTGTTGGTAACGATTCTATTCATGGTGGTGGTGGTGGTGTTGGTAATGCTGTTGATGCTGGTGATGATGGTGGTAATGGTGATGATGGCAATGACTATGACGATGGCCATGACGACAAGACGATGCTGATGCTGCTGATGATGACGATTACGCTTACGATTGCAATGATGGTTGTGGTGATGGTGTTGATAGCGATTGTCGCAAACATGGTCAATTCGCAACGCTGATGATGGTGACGATAGTGATGTTGACAGTGATGGCCCTGAACGACGGCGATGAGCGGTGATGATGACGATGATGATGATGATGATGATGATGATGATGATGATGATGATGATGATTCTGATGATGGTCATGATGATTCTGATGATGTTGATGGTGATGCTGCTGCTGATGGCGATGATGGTGCTAATGATGGCATCAGTGATAGTGATGATGGTCGTGGTGATGATGCTGATGATGATCATTAGGATGATGATCATAATGATGGTTGTGATGATGCTGCTGCTGATAATGATGATGATGATGCTGGTGATGATGATGATGATGACGATGATGATGAGGATTCTGATGATTAAGACGATGATGATGAGGATGATGATGATGAGGATTCTGATGATGATGATGATGATGATGATGATGTTGATGGCTATTCTGCTGCTGATGCTGATGGTAATGGTGGTCGTGATGATGATGATGATGATGACGATGATGATGATGATGATGAGGTTGATGATGATGACGATGATATGATGATGATCATGATGCTAATGATGACATTAGCTCTAGTGATGATTGTCATGGTTGTGATGCTGATGGTGATGATGCTGATGCTGATGATGACGATGATCTTGATGATGATGCTGATGATGATCATGATCACGACCATGACACTGATGATGATCATGCTGATGATGATGATGGTGGTGATGATGATCATTCTCATGATGCTGCTGCTGCTGCTCATGATGATGACGATGATGATGATTATTATCATGCTGATGCCGAAGGTGTCGATTATGATGATGCTGCTGCTGATGACGATGGTGATGCTGATGACGCTGATGATGATGATTATGATGATGATGATGATGATGACGATGATGATGATGATGACGATGTTGACGACGACGGGGGCGGTGACGGTGCTGATGCTGGATAATGATTGCATTGGTGATCTTGTTGATGATGATGATACTGTTGCTGATGATGATGCTGCTTGGGACGGTGATGTTGATGATGACTGTGATGATGCTGCCGATGATTATGATGTACATTGTGATGATGATGCTTCTCATAATGATGCTGATGATTCTAGCGATGCTGCTTGGGATGATGATGATGATGGTGACGATGATGCTGCTGATGATGGTGCTGATGATGATGATGGTGTTGATGCTGATGATGGTCATGCTGATGATGATGATGATGGTGATGATGCTGGTTGTGATGATGATGATGATGACGATGCGGACGACGACGCTCCCAATGCGGATGATGATGCTGATGATGATGTTGTGGCTGATGTTTATCATGATGATGATGGCCATGCTGATGGCGATGATGATGTTGATGGTGATGGTGATGACGGCGTGGACGATGACGATGGTGATGCTGGTGATGATGCCTAGGATGGTGATGTTGTTGATGATGCTGCTGTTGCTGATTATGATGATGATGTTGATGATGATGAGGATGATGGTGATGCTGATGGTTATGATGCACCTCGTGATGCTGATGAGGATAATGGTGATGCTGATGATGATGTTGATGATGATGATGATGATGATGATGATGACGACGACGACGATGATGATGATGATGATGATGATGCCAATGATAATGATGATGAGGATGATGACGACGCGGACGAGGACGATGCAGATGCTGGTGTTGATGACTATCATGGTGATGTTGTTGTTGATGTTGAAGCTGTTGCTGCTGCTGATGATGATGCTAATGAGTATGTTGCTGCTGATGATGCTGCTGCTGATGATGATGATGTTGATGATGATGAGGATGGTGATGATGATGATGGTGGTTGTGATGATGGTGATCATGGTGATGATGATTGTGATGGTGATGGTGATGGTGATTATGATGCTGATGATTATGGTGGTGGTGGTTGTGGTGATGATGATGATTATGGTCATGGTGATGGTGATTGGGGTGGTGATGGTGATGGTGAATGGTGATGGTGATGGTGAGGGTCATGGCTCTGGTGATGATGATGCTGACGATAATGGTGATGGTGATGATGATGATGCTGCTGCTGCTGCTGACGTCGACGACGACGACGGCGATGACCACGACGACGCCGACGATGATGACGATGATGATTCTTATGATGATAATGATGATGATGATGATGATGATGATGATGATGACGACGATGATGCAGAGGAGGAGGAGGAGGAGGAGGAGGAGGAGGAGGAGGAGGAGGATGAAGAGGAGCAGCAGGACGCGTCAACAACCCTACACACTTTGTCAAGCTAAGCGCAATTCTCCGCAGTGCGTCCCTCGCGCTTGGGGCGATTCAACTGGGTGTAACCAATCGCAAAGGACATTACAAGCAGGAAGCCGGCGGGACCGCCCTAGTTTTAGCGCTATACGCATACCCGTGAGCAGACGCACGGCAATTGCAGTACCTACGCACACGCACAGGACAGGTTCGCACTCACAGTATACAGACAGGCACCACGATATGGATAGACGGTCGTAATTTCAGGCGCAGGCACATCTGAGCCCATATTCGTACTGGCGCACGCAAACAAGCGAGCACGCAGGTGCGCACACTGACAAAAAGGAGCATGTGTACGCTCACAAAGACAGGCGCAGGCATGTGTACCCACATGGAACCACGCAGACATTCTGACGGTCGCCATGTGCGCACTCCCCTTCGTGACATCGAAGGCGTGGTGCCTGCTCAGCTGACCCCGTGGGCGGCAGACCTGTTCAGCAGCCTTGTTTTTGGAAGATTTTTAAAAGGAAGGATTGTGGAAGGTTCTTGTTGAGGAATCCTCCAACAACCGTCTCACAACCTTCCGGAGGAAGGTTTTTGGACAGTTTTGCTGATGAAGCCCTCCTGGAACCTTCCTGAGGAAGGATGTTGGAATTTTTTTTTGCGGAGGTCCTATAACAAAATACCTTCCTGAGGGAGGCTTTTGGAAGGTTTCTCGGCCTTCGCAGAAGCCTCTCCGCGCGTTTCCGGCCAGGCTCTTGAAGACAGCGGCACGTGGGACCACGGCGTGGTCTTCGGCTACTCGACGAACGAGAGCAAGGCGCCTCGCCCCCACGGAGGAGGGAAGGCCCCCTGGGGGCCAAGCACACGGGAGCACCGGCTGATCGCGTCGGAAGGAGGGCCAGAAGGCAGGACATCTTCGACGATCCACCTTCCTGCTCCTCCCCCCCGTTCCCCCTCCTCTCCCTCCCCCTCCTCTTCCCCGTCCCTCCTGTCCTCCGCTTCCTTCTCCTCCTCCTCCTCCTTCCCCTTCGCGTCTCAGGTCCTGGTTCGTGAGCGGGGCATGGCCTCCCTCCAGGGAGGCTCGTGCCCACTCGGATGCTCTTTGTCAGTCGGTCCCGGCTGTACTTCGCCCTGCAGGCCCAAAACTTACAATCTGGCTCAACCGGCTTCCTGCTGCACGAGTCGTATGGGCTCCCCTCCCCAGGCATCCTCGCGTCGTGGCAGAAAACCACGGGGCCCGATAGCCCATCAGGCCCAGTAACGAGCGGTTTTGCTCTCGGGGGCTCATTGCCGATGTATCAGCGATGTACCGTCGATTCCAGGTCGATGTTTCCCTTTCTGAGCTGGTCCCTCCTTACCAATGCCCCTCAGGAAGGGATGATGATGATGCTGCTGCTGCTGCTGCTGCTGATGATGATGATGATGATGATGATGATGATGATGATAATGATGATACTGATGATGCTGCTGCTGCTGCTGATGATGATGATGATGATTGGTGATTGTTTGATTGATTGATTGATTTATTGATTGATGGTGATGCTCATGCTGACGATGATGATGATGCTGCTGATGATGAGGATGATGATTATGGTTATGTTGTTGTTGATGCTGATGCTGACGCTGATGATGATGATAATGCTGATGAAGATGATGATGATCATGTTTATGATGATGCTGATGATGATGCTGATGATGCTGATAATGCCGATTCTGCTGCTGGTGATGCTGATGATGACGATGACGATGACGATGACGATGACGATGGTGATGATGATGATGATGATGATGATGAATGATGCTGATGATGATGATGCTTATGATGATGATGATTATGATGACGATGATGATGATGATGATGATGATGATGATGATGATGATGATGATGATGATGATGATGATGATGATGATGATGATGATGATGATGATGATGATGATGATGATGATGATGATGATGGCGGGAAGGGGCCCGAGGAGCCACGAGGAGGAGGAGAGGAGGAGGAGGAGGAGGAGGAGGAGGAGGAGGAGGAGAAGGAGGATGAGAAGGAGGAGGAGGAGAAGGAGGAGGAGGAGGAGTAGGAGGAGGAGGAGCTAGGAGGAGGAAGAGCGGAGGAGAGGGAGGAGGAGGAGGGAGATGTATGAGGAAGAGGGTGAAGGATGAGGAGGAGGGTCGAGGAGGAGAGGTAGAGGAGGAGGGGAGTGAGGAGGAGGAGGCAGGATGGGGGAGGAGGAGGAGGGGAGGAGGATGGGGAGCAGGAGGAGGAGGAGGAGGGAGGAGGAGGCGGGAGGAGGAGGAGGAGGAGGATGAAGCGGAGGAGGAGGAGGAGGAGGAGGAGGAGGGTGGATGAGGCGGAGGAGGAGGAGGCGGAGGAGGTGAAGGCGGAGCCAATTCCCCCCTGACTTTGCCCCTCGTCGCGCCGCCGGATGCCTGGATCCCGCTTCTTGCTTGCGGGGGCGGTCTGCCGTGGCCGCTCTTCCGCTCCTCCCACGGGTCATGGCCACGATCTGCCAGCCTGCGCCCCGCTCTCGCCCGAACGCGGCGTCGCCCACGCCGCTTCGGCAGAAGAGAAACACGGTATGCTTCAAGCGTCAAGTCGGGCCTGTCCCTCTACAGGAGGACGAGTCAGAAGTGGTGAAAGAATAGTCTGGGGACGTTTTCTGAAAACGATTATTGACTGCTTTGGAGTCTTCTTAAAGCTATCCTTCACTTTTCGCGCCTGCAGGGGGACATGCCCGACCTGATTCAAGCGCCGTCGTACCCAGACATGTGGCGTCGTGCCTTTTTCCCCCGCGTGGCTCCCCACAGGTCTGGGCCCCGTGGTGGATCCTGGCCGCCCTGGCCGCGCGGGCCGCATCAGAACTCGTCGCGCGGGCGGCGCTTGCGGATGTTCAACCCCTTTGCCTCCGCCACGGTCTGCATCAGCGAGCCCGCGTCCTCCAGCACGGCGGCCCCGCGCGCGCTGGCGGCCTTCTCCGCCCTTGTGGCCGCCTGGCGCCCCAGCGCGCGCTGCAGCATCGAGGAGGCCTGCACCAGCAATGCAGTCGCCGCCCCCTCCTCCTTCTCCTCCCCCTCCTCCTCCTCCTCCTCCTCCTCCTCCTCCTCCTCCTCCTCCTCGTGGCTCCTCGGGCCCCTTCCCGCCGGCGCCCTCCTGCGACGCCTCCTCCTGCCTCGCTTCGCCCGCCTGGCGGGCCTTTTCAAGGCTCCCTCTGCGCTCCGCTGCCACGTCCTCATTGTCTCGTCGTCGTCCCTCCTCCTCCTCCTCCTCCTCCTCCTCCTCGCCCTCCTTCTCCTCCTCCTCCTCCTCGACGCTCGTCTTGCGTTTCCTCCTCCTTCCTTCTGGGGCCACCTCGTCGCCGCCGTCCTGGCCGCCTCCTCTGGGCTTCTTCAGCGCCTCTTTACTGCCTCCTCGCGGTCTCGTTGTCGCCCTGCCGCTGCCCCTCCGCCTCCTCCGCCGCCTCCTCCTCCTCCTCCTCCTCATCATGGTCGCCCTCCTTCGCCTCGTCGTCCTCGGCGCCTGCCGCCTGTCCCTGCGCCTCGCGCGACGGCCGCCGCCGTCGCCTGCGCCGCCGCCGCCGCCAGGCGGGCTGGGGTCGCCCCTGGCTGCGGCCGCCGCAGTCGCTGTAGGATGGCCCGCGCGTTCTCCCGGTGAAGGGAGATGGGGAGTCGCTGGGCCATCCTGTCCGCCGTGCTGGCGGCCTCCTCCCCGCGCGCGTCGGCCGCGCGCTTGGCCAGCGCGGCGAAGGCGCGGCGTGCCTCGCCGCCCCAGCTCCCGCCGTGCGCCTTCACCGCCATCCGCCATCGGGGTGAAGGTAAGTCCGCGTCGCGGCAGGCTTGCGCCGTCCCCTGGTGCTGCCGCTTGTGCTCCTCGTACCTGTCGAGGGCGGCGTTTGGGTCGGCGGCGGAACGCGCGATGAGGTCCACGCGCAGGCGGGGCGTCACCGCGAAGTCCAGGGCGGCCGAGAGCCCGCCGCGCCACCGGGGGACATGGACATCCGCTGGCCGGCGGCCGTCGTTGTCTAGTCCGTCGCCCTTCCGGCTCCTCGGCGTTCGGCCCTTCGCCCGGTGCCCGCGGCGGCAGCAGTCCGGGCCGCTCCAGCTCGGCCCCCGAGAGGCTGGCGGCCTGGGCGGCGAAGAAGGTGCCGTTCCGCAGCTTGTAGTGGCGGCGAGTGCGGTCGCCCTGGCAGGCGCGCGTCAAGGCGGTCGCAGTGCGCGTCCATGACTTCCGCGCACGCCGGGCAGACTGCTTCCTCGTCGATCAGCTGGGCCCGGGGCCGTCGCTTGATCCCGATCTGCATCGGGCTGTGCGGGACGGCTGTGCCGAGTGCCTCGCTCGGTGGCGCCTGCAGGTGCGCGCTGGCGCCAGGCGCGGCCGCCAGGGCGAGGTGGGCGCGCGTCGCGGGCGAAGAGCGGCCCCAGAGGGCGGCGCGCGCAGCGTCGTCGACCTGGCCCGAGAGAGCCTTCTGGTTTGAGTGTGTCTCGCAGTCGAAGCGCGCGGCCCTGTTAACCTCCGCCACGCTGGCGTTGTGGGTCTGGAGCGCCGCGGCCAGGGCCCCGGCGTCACACGCGTCGTCGTCTGTGCATTCCGCGTACGTAGACCGGCAGAACTCGCTGCTCGTGGCGCACGAGGAGAGGTAGGCCGCCGGCGAGTGCTTCTCGGCGGAGCGCAGCCCCAAGTCGCCCTTGTTCAGTTTCAGCGCTTGGGGCCACGAGTCGTCGGTGATGGAAGCGCAGGCCAGCTGTTCCAGGCAGGGGCGCAATGCGGCATCCATCTTCAGGAGGGCTTCGGTGTGGGCGGAGGGCGGCACTACGCGCGCCGAGTAGCCGAGCTTGCAGTAGAAGGCACACTGCCGGAGGAGGTGAAGAGCTACCTCCGCGCCCTCCAAGTCGGCCAGTGCGTCCAGGAGCTCCGTTGCCTTCTTCGCTCGTTTCCGCGTGTGCTGACGGCAGATATCGTCGCTCCCGATCGGCGCGCCGAGGAGTTCGAAGCAGCCGTCGGAGCGCAGTCGGAAGCCCGGCGGGAAATCCGCCGCGGACGCGTTGCTGTTTGCCCCCGCTGCTGGGACAATTTTGCACTTGCCCGGCCCCGTGCTGAGGTAGGGGCCAACTGCTGCGAGTTCGGTCGCAACGAGGTGCAGGAAGCGCGCCGCGGCCTGTCTGTCGCCCGCCGCGCAGCCGTCGTCCAAGTAGAAGAAGACGAAGTCCAGGGCGGCGTCTTGCGCGAGCTTCCCGAGGCTGCGGCGCGCCGTCTCCGCGCAGCGTTGGAGTGCTAGAGAGAAGAGCAGCGGGCCCAGCGGGTCGCCCTGCTAGACGCAGCAATTGGAGCGTAGTGTTTGTTTGCCGAGGAAGAGTAGCGAGGGGCTGCCGTAACACCAGTCCGCCCAGGGTGCCAGCGCGGGAAATTCTTCGTGCGCTGCTCAGAGGGCGGCCCTCCGGTCCAGGGTATTGAAAGCGTTCTTATCCGGTGCGTAGAGGGCGGTCTCCGGTCCAGGGTCCAGGGGGCCACGAGGCGTGTGAGGGGTGTACAGTCCACACCGTGCGGCGAGTCGGTGGGGATTGGGGGTCACCGCGCGGTTTTGGGACTCGGGTCGTTGTCCGAGGACTTCTCGGGCGACTGGGGCCTCCGAGGTCCCATGACCCTGCGGTGACGGACCGTGCGGTGAGGTCTTGGGAATGTCGAGGTCACCGCACGGTCTGTCACCGCACCGTTTCGGGACTCAAAGAGGAAGAGTCAGTCCCGGTGAAGGGGTCGAGGCCTCGGGGGGCCGGGCGATGCGAACAAGTCGCGCCGTGGGGGGACCAGTCCCTCTCTCCTGTGCTTGCAGGGGCCGGGCCTGCTCTATGTGCGGCATCGCTCGGGCGCGTGCGCTCTTTCTCGTCGAGGGTCCGCGGGGGGCCTCTTGGATTGGAGGTTGATAGACATCCTGCCCTGACACGTCGATTAAGGAATTGGCCGCTTTCGGTTCGCGGGAGGGCGTCGCGGCCGTCATTTTTGCGGGTCCAGGTCCGTCGGTTTCGGTCCTAGGTCGTTTTCACTAAAGGGAGGTTTACGGAAGGGAGGTTTGTGCACCGCCGGTTGGGTCATCCCGTGAAAGAGGAGCGCACGAAACCGGAAAGATGCACGGGGAATGGGCGTCCGAGCGATTGCAGGATTCCGCGTCGAGTCGGGCGCGACCCGATCCGCTTCCCGCTGCGATCCGACCTCGCGGCTCGATGCGGCTCCGGCCCGCCAAGGTCGGCGCCGTCGTGGTGCGGTCGGTGCCCTCGCGCCTAGGCGCCTAGCGTCGTGCTTTTTGTCACCATGTGGCTCTCCCGTGGACAGGTGAGCCGCCACAAGTGTGCTACTCGCCGGCGAGTGAAGGGTGGAAGTGAGAAGGAGGAGGCCCTCTCAGAAGGCGGCGGGGCTTCTCAGAAGCCTTCGGGCCTTCTGAGGAATTTGCAGTGTCTTCGGGGAAGGCTCGGGGAACTTCTCAGAAGGCTGGAGACTTCCGAGTCTTCTGTGGAGGCCCGCCCCTTCTCACTTCCCCCCCGCGCTCGCCGCCAAAGTGGACTGTTTCACCACCTTGCCAGTGCTCCTCTGACGTGTACGGCTCTCTCTTTCTCTCGTTTTTTTTTTTTTTTTTTTTTTTTTTTTTTTTTTTTTTTTTTTTTTTTTTTTTTTTTTTTTTTTTTTTTTTTTTTTTTTTTTGTTTTTTCTCTCTCTCTCTCTTTCTCTCTCTCTCTCTCTCTCTCTCCCTCACGTGGTTCCCCAGAGGTCTGAACTTTTTTTTCTGGGGGCCAGCTTCTCATCCCGAGTCGTGTCTTCACGCTCCCAGGTGGCCTGGTGAAGGGCCCCAGGGGCCGAAGCTCGCCGCCTCCCGCCGCCATTTTCTTGACGCGAGGAGGTCACGTCTTGTCGTAAGTCGGGCGTGTCCTTCTACAGGAGGAACATTCATCAAAGGCAGTCGAAAAAGCTTAAACGGGAACGATTTTTGACAACTTTTTGGTCTCCTGGGGCATTCTTGTAGCATTTAGTAAATTCTTCATCCCAAATCCGCTTGCAGAGGGGACATGCCCGACCCAAGTCTTGTCGGCCCCGGGGCCCTGAGAGGTTCCCCGGGCAGCCGAGAGTCGCCCCAACAGAGGGCCACATGCGAACCCCACCCCTACCCCCCCAACGACTTCTGAGGGGGTGGGTGGGGTTCACGCCGCCGGGAGCTCCCGAACGAAGTGAACCCCACCCTCCCCGTTTTGGACACCCGAGATGGGCACGGAAAGAATGGGCACTATGCCCAACAACAAATGTTGTCCCAAGCCAACAGCGGCCGCTGTTGGGCAGGCGGCCTTCTGTCTCGAATGGACACAGGCCGCGGCGGCGTGGACAGCGAATCCTGTTGAAGATGAACAGGAACTGTTGTTGGGCATCGTGCCCATCCTTTCAGTACCCATTTCGGGCGTCCAAACCCGTCAGAACTCGTGGGGGGCAGGGGTTGGGTTCGCATGTGGCCCCCTACCCGAGCACCCCGCCATGCTTCTCTCCCCCGGCGCGAGGTCGCCCTAGGGCAGGGCGGGGCCCCGCGCGCCCGCGGGCTCGGCGGCCGAGGAGCACATGCCCATGTCGCACGTCCTGGCCAACGGCCTGTGCGCAAGGCTCGACGAGGCCAGCCTCCTCCTCCTCCTCCTCCTCCTCCTCCTCCTCCTCCTCCGCCCCCTCCTCCGCCCCCTCCGCCTCATCATCCGCCTCATCATCCGCCCCCCCCTCCTCCTATTCCTCCTGCTCCTCTTCCTCCCTCGAGCACAGGTGGCCCAAGGCTCCCGTACCCGTTTGGGCTCGAGTGCGCCGTATGCCGCACAGCTTTGCGCCGTCCACGTGGGCGCTGGAGGGGCGTCGGGTCGTCCTCGCCTCAGATTGCGAAGCAGATTCGGGTGGCACACCAGAGCGAAGTCAAATAAGCATGAGCAGGAGTTCATCAATTGGCTACTGTTGGGTGGCTATGCCCTCCCAGTCGATCGGCAAGCCATGGGCTTTCCCGAAGAGCTCACCGCCAGGGGCTAGCGCCTACTTGCATTTACATTTCTGTATTCATACCTCGTATGGTTTGTCCTAATGTGGCCCCGCAGGTCTCCATTTCGGCCATTCTGTTGGTCACAAGAGGAGTTTGCCAGCGGTGTAGCGTGGCCTCTACTGGAGTTTATTGGTATTCTTTTTGCTTTGGAGGCGTCCTTCCTGAATTTCCTGAATGCTTGTGCTTGACCAGTGGTCCCTGCAGCCCCTGCTTCAGCCCCTGGGCGTGGCCGTGACGCCGCCCCGCGCCCGCTGGCAGGGGTGCAGCACTGGCTGGCCGCCCTGGCCGCTCCACGGCGACGCACCTCGCCATGTGAGTGCCCTCCTCTCCCCCTCCTCCCTCGCGGCCGCATTCGCCTGCCTTTCCCTCCTCCCGCCGGTCATTTTGCGCTTTACTTTGCCCAGACCGCCTGAGCGCGCGTGCGGGCTGCCGCTGCCGTGCTGCGACGTATAAAGTGCTTGGCCAGTGGCAGCCGCTCGTTCATGTTCAGACCCGGTCAAGCTGGAGACGATCATCATCAGTCTCGGTGCTTCCATATCCCACGTCCGCATGGGAAGGGTCCGGCGTGCATTTTTCTGGTGGTGTTTCGCATGTGTTGGCCAATCAGCACTTGCTTTGAGGGAGGGCTGCGGGCTGCGGTGCCATCCGAGGGACCAGAACGCGTGCAATCTTGATGAAGGGTTTGATGTCCACTACTACTCCGTGGCGCTGTTCTCCCTGGTCCTGTCGGTCCGCATGGTGCTCCGTGGATGATGTTTTTTGATCTGGAATCGCAGTGTATCTATTCCTTTCCCTCTTCCTCCCCCTCGTCCGCCTCCTCCTCCTCCTTCTTCTCCCCCTGTTCCTCCCCCTCCTCCTCTTCCTGCTCCTCCTCCTCCTCCTCCTCCTTTTCCTCCTCCTCCTTCTCTTCGGTCCCCCCGCCGTCGCGTGCGGTCGTGCCCTTTGGGGCGGGGCCAGGGGTCTGGGGTTCCAATGGCGTCCCACGCAGGGTCCGAAAAGACGGGCGGGGTCGGATGACCGCGCCGCATCGCCGATCTCCCTTCCTCCCTCCCTCCCTCCCTCCTTCCCTTTTCCCTCCTCCCTCTCCCTCCTCCCTCTTTCCCTCCCTCCCTCCTCCCTCCTCCCTCCTGTCGCCTCTCTCCCCCCTCCTCCCTCTTCCGTCTTCCGTCCTCCGTCCTCCTTCCTCTTCCCTCCTCCCTCCTTCCTCCTTCCTCGGGAGGGAAGGCGCGAGGGGGAGGGAGGGAGGACGGACGGAGGAGGAGGAGGAGGAGGAGGGGGAGGATGAGGAGGAGAAAGAGGAGGAGGAAGAGGAGGAGGAGGAGGAGGAGGAGGAGGAGGAGGAGGAGGAGGAGGAACAAGAGGACGCGCGGGGAGGAGGAATAGGACGAGGAGGAGGAGGAGGAGGAGGAGGGAGGAGGAGGAGGAGGAGGAGGAGGAGGAGGAGGAGGGAGGAGGAGGAGGAGGTAGGAGGGAGGAGGAGGAGGAGGAGGAGGAGGAGGAGGAGGAGGAGAGGAGGAGGAGGAGGAGGAGGAGGAGGAGGAGGAGGGAGGAGCGAGGAGGAGGAGGAGGAGGAGAGAGGAGGAGAGGAGGAGGGAGGAGGAGGAGAGGAGGAGGAGAGGAAGAGGAAGAAGAGGATGAGCAGGGAGGAGGAGGAGGAGGAGGAGGAGGAGGAGGAGGAGGGAGGGAGGAGGAGGAGGAGGAGGAGGAGGAGGAGGAGGAGGAGGAGGAGGAGGAGGAGGAGGAGGAGGAGCCACAAAGGTCTCCTGCAGGGAATCAAGCCTTGCACCCCCCCTCGCCGCGCGATCGCCTGGGCCCCTGCGGCTGCGGCGGCGCGGGCTGGCGGCGGCTGCACTGCTGGGCCTCTGTCCGCTGAGCGGGGTGGCGCCCCCCGGCTCGGCAACCGCTTTGAGCGGTATATAAAGCTGACATTGGCTGGATATATTTGTTTATTATTGTTGTTCATCCGCGTCGTCGGAGGAGATGGAATGGACGAAAGTGGAGAGATGTCGCCGTCCGCCCCGCGGCCGCGGCGACACCGAGCTCGCGACGCAGATCCTGCGCAGCCTGTTCAACGGCCGGGGCGGGCGGGGCGCCAGCGCTGGCACGGAAGGAGGTGCTGGGAGACAGCCCCCGCGCCGCGCCGAATGGAGGTGCCGGTGCGGCGCCTCCAATTTCGAGGAACGCGGCAGCTGCCGCCGCTGCGGGACGCTCCGGGCAGGAGCTCCCGCCAGCTGCCCCCCGCCCGCTCCCACGCCAGGGAACGCCGCCGGCGGGCGCGCCGGGTGGCCGCCACTCCCCGGAGCGGAGCACCGCTCGCGCGAGCAGGCCCCTGGGGAGGGCGCGCGCGACCGCCCGGCGGCGCCGGTGCCCTCCGCGCGGCCGCCCGCTCCCGAGGACGCGGCGGCAGCAGCTGCGGAGCAGGCGGCTGCCCTGGAGGCCTCTGCGGACCAGCTCGACAGCGCTCGCCTCGGGCCGGAGGCCGCGCAGCTGCGCCGGAAGGCCGCCGAGCTGCGCAAGCGCGCGGCCGCTCCGGCGCCGGGGCGGCGCCTGGATCTCCTGGAGGCTTACGTGCACAGGGCCGCCACCCGGGCCTCCAAGGCGGCGGCGGCTGTCGAGGCCGCGGAGGTCTCTTTGGCCGAGGCCCGCAGCACCGCGGAGGCGCTCCAGGCGGAGCTGGAGGAGGGGCGAGCCAAGCTCGCGCAGCTGCGCGCCGAGCTGCAGGCGGAGCCGGCGGACGAGGCTTGGGAGCTGCATGCGCGGGCGTTGCTGCAGGCCTTGAACACCCCAGCGCTGCTGGACCCCGTGACGGGCAGGCCCCCGGAGAGTATTGCAGCCCCGATGGCTGCGCTCTACACCTTCCTCGGGGACACGGCGGCCCGTGTTCCCGCAGCCCGGCTTGACGAGGCGATCGAGGAGGAGCCCAAGGAGCACCGCCTAGATGCCGGCGCCGCGCTGGAGGAGGAGGACGACGACGACGAGATGAGCGAGGAGGAGCTCATGGACAAGCTGGACGAGGCTGCCGAGGACAACGGGGCCCTCCTCGAGGTGGCCCGGCGCCTGCAGCGGACCCGGAAGCTCGGCCTCAAGCAGGCCGGGAAGAGCCGGCGGAAGTAATCGGCCCAGGTCTCGGGCTGCCGCGTGGCCCCAAGCGCCTGCGGCCGCCGCAGCCGCTGGGAGGCGGAGATGGCCGGCGGCGGAACCGCTGGGAGACGCAGATTGCCGGCGGCAGGGCCGCTGAGAAGCAGAGATTGCCGGCGGCGGAGTCGCCCTGGCGCCCGATCACATGGCAGTGTGGGTGGGCAGGGATTCGGGTCGGCGAGGCGCAGCACCCAGGCCCCCTTTGCCCCAACTGCGCTGGGAGCACGCGGGCTGCCCGAGCGGAGCACGGCGAGCGCTGCTGGCAATGCGATCGGCCCGGCGCCGGCGGCTGGTTGCAGGCTTGCGAGTCCTGCCATGCACGTGTGTGCCGGGAGTGCGCGGCGGACACTCCGGCGACCGCACCGGCCTCGGACACCGCCGCGGCGGCGGCAGCAGCACCGGCAGGCGCGGGCGCACCAGCAGCGGGCCCCGCCCTCGGCCCACCCGCGCCGCCCTTGCCCGGAGGCGCGCCCGCGGCTGCCGCCGCCCCGGCCGCGGCCTTGCACCCGGCGCCGCCGCCGCAACCGCTCCAAGACATGGATGCGGATTGCTGGGCGGCCCTGGGCGGCATCGACCTCCTGGACGAGCTCGCGCAGGACTGCCCCACGCTCCGGTTCGTCCCCGGAGGGGCCCGGGCGTCGGCCGCGCAGGCCACCGAAGCGGTCTGCCGAGCGGTGCTGCGCTCGGCGCCTGGCACGGTGGCGGAGAGCAGGGCGTGGAAACTTCTCCTGCTCAGGGAGCGGCTGCTCTTCGCCGCGCCGATCCGCCGCAACACAGGCCGGCGGCGCGTCTGGTCCGGCAGCGGTGCTCCCAGCTCCTGCGCGGCGCCTGGCAGGAGCTCCTCGAGGAGGCACGGGGGGCCGGCCGAAGCTTGGCTCGGGCTCGGCGGGAAGCAGGAGGGGACGGCGCCAACGACAAGGGCCGCCTTGCCGACCAGGTGGTGCGCCAGGCCCTTGCTGAAGAGTACCCGCGGGCAGTGGCGCTCCTGGCGAGCCCATGGCCTGGCGCCGCCCACAGAGGAGACTGCGACGAAGCTACAGGAGCTGCTTGCCCCCCGCGGAGCGCAGGCGCTAGCCCGAGACCCCCGCCCTGGGCCAGGGGCGGCCGCTTCGCCCCTCTCACACACGGAGCTCAGGCGGGCCCTCCGGCGGAGCCCCAAGGGCAGCGGCGCCGCGGTCGGCGGCGCCCGCTTCGAGCACTGGCGGGTGGTACTCGCCGAGCCCACTGCGCTCGAGGCCTTCTGCGAGGTTTGCGACCGCCTCGCCACTGCTGACCTGCCAGAGAGCGCCGCCGAGGCCTTGGCCCTTTCGAGACTGACGCCGCTCCGCAAGCCAGACAATGGGGTGCGCCCGATAGCGGCCCCTAGCATCCTCCGCCGGCTGGTGGGGCGGGCCCTGGTGACGCCGCTGAAGAGGGACCTCGCGACAGCTTTGGGCAGGCGGCAATTCGCGATTGG